TGTCCTCGGCTCGGTACGCGTTACCCAACCGCCACGTGCCCCCTGTCGCCGCCTGTGGCCGCGCCGCTCGGCGCTGCTGTCAGATCGCCCCGAATGGAGCGAATCAGACCGGAGATCGGGAAATAGCGATGCGTATTGGCCACCTGTGGTCAGGTCAGAGCGCGGGCCTACATATCAGTAAGCACAGATAACAGTAGTACTGGATTGGAAACAGAATATTGGCAGTTGCAGTAAGAGGCCGAATGTTTTTATGCGACGGCGCCAAAATGAGATTCTCGCGTGCTGCTGGGTGGATCATTTGTATGTTGTGTATTGCAAGAAATCGTCATTTTTGTGTTTTGTCGTTTACATTTAAAATCGAAGCTACCAATGTTACTTTCATTTGCTTAAAAAATTAAAGTATTTCACTTTTAATTTGGTTATTTAGAGGGCACAATGCGTGGTGTTTTCTTTTGAAAACAAAGTGTGGTGCAAAGCCTCACATACGTATAGATACATCAACAATGGAGGAGGGGAATGAGCGGTAAAAAACTGCCGTTCTGGCTACAACCCAACGAACCAAGAGGAACAAAAGATTAAAACAGGAGATGTCTCACATGCCACCTATTCGCTTTTCTCACCGAAACATCTCTACGGGCTCAGTGAGTTGGCGCCATGGGTCGCCGTGACCGGGCTGAGTGAAATCAGGACTATTCCGCTGCATGTGTGAGCTGCATTTCAGAAAGGAAGATTTCGAAGATGATCGGTCATTTCTCACCGGCATACAGAGACAGCGCCGTCGGCTCAAGAGCGGCGCAGTCCTGTCAGTATTGACCAGCGTGGATTACGCGATGCCCCCTGTGCACGAGCGGCCAGCAAAACTAGCCGTGGCATCCGCACGCCACTCACACCAGAAGCAGGTTAGGAAGGACCAGACCGATGCGTTCTTCACGAATGACAATGTCAGCTATCAGGTGGCAACTACAACTGGCCGAGTGTCCGACAGTTCCTGGAGAATGAGGCGGTACTCCGAAGTCGAACTAAGGGCCTCAGATGGTGGTCACTGGTCACGTTTCAGCCCCGCCGACGCCTCCGCTCGAGTGGCACCATCAGCATCACAGCAGGAGCGACAGCAGGATGGTGCTCTTGTCATCCAGGAGCCAGTGGCCGCGGTGGCGAAATCCACTGAAATGGAGGACCTGGATGACAGCGCCAAGGCCTCCCTGGGACACAGCTCTGGCGCCTTGGCACGCTCGGCCACCAGGCGTAACAAGTACGGTGCCTCCGCCAGCCTGCTGATCTATCTTGGGGCTACGCCGCTAGAGTACGACTGGAGAAAGACGAGGAAGACATCGACCTCACCGTGAGGATCTGCCATATTTGGAGGCAGCTGCCGAAGACGGAAGCTAACAGGAACCAGCTGCTGGTCTGCGATCAACCAAGAAGTGACGAAGATAGTCGTAAACCGGGATGTCGAACTGACCGGAAGTCGTTTGCAATGATAGCCACGACGTCCTTAGGAGCCTCCTTCCAGAGATGTATGCGACGGTTTTCAATCTATTTGCTGGAAAGTGTGGAAACATGGTAACTGATAAGTGAGGCAGACACTCAAGACAGTGCTGTCCATCGAAAGTCAGGAAGCAGACACCCCAGCGGCAATCGGGTTGCACCCCAGGTGCAACCCGATCGAGGAGCGACAAGAGGCCAAAGCTCAACAGGGTCAAGAAGATGTAAGGCGGGGAAGTAAGATCGCTGATGAAATTGGGAGGGCAGGCGAGGCGAAGTGACACTTGAAGGGGTGTTTTGTGACGTTGGTTTGAATTGTGACGTTTGGATGGTTCGTTGTGACAGGACTGGTGTCGATTAGAATGTAAATAAAGAGATCAAACTCCCATGTACAATAACTTTTTGTGGATGAGAGTGGGAAATCATTATAATCAAAACAGTGGCATACGTGCCCTCACCACGGTGAGGAAAGTGTAACCAGCAACGTTTAGAAAAATAAGTTGCCATTATGCAAAAAATGCATCAATAAACACGAGCACGGCTAGATAGCTTCTTTATAAGTAAGTTTATAAGTTTCATTCACATAAACCAATAATTTTTTGTTGCCTGTGAGAGGAGATATCAAAGTCTGGGCACGAAATATTCGGTTCTGTTTTCGGCCTCTTACTGCAGCCACCGGAATCCTGTTTCCAATCCAGTACTACTGTTATCTGTGCAGTAAGTAATGCGAAAATGTCAAGCCGACATTTCCATGTGTCATTTGCTCTGGCTAGTGCGCTGGCTGAAACTAAAACCTGATCTAAATGTAGTATGTACTTTTTATCATTTTTTGATGCATAGATTTCGAAGAGCAGAACCTTTTTGACATCGTTCTCTGGACGTCGCCTCCGCTTATACGAACCGGAATGGGGATTCCAACTGCGGGACCAGGCGATGCCGCTAATCAGGGGTGGAGATCTGTGAAAATGTCAGGGGGGGGGGGGTCCAGGCCGGGCAGATGGAGGCGGGCTGGATGCAGTACCATTGACTTACATAGCAGTAATTCGTTTTCAGGGGGTCCTGACCCCCCCCCCCCCCCGACCCCCGAGATCTCCACCTCTGCCGCTAATCACTTTGGAATAATAGCGCTAAGTGCATATTATGTTTTGCCTTATATCATATCCCCTTGTCCACGACCGCCTACCGTCTTCAGCCGTCCACCGATCCCTATACGCACAGGGCCGTCCACCGTTCCCTATACGCACAGGGCAGTGGACACTGGACAGGGCCGAGCGGACGTGTCGCCGGAGCCTGCCGCTGCCCCCCCCCCCGGCCCCACCCCCTGTTCTATGGCCTGTTCGCCTGCTGTATGTACTGTTTACCTGACCCAGATGCGTGGATTGTGTCCCACCCTGGCCCGTTTCGGAGGGGCCAGCCGGCGACTCGGCTGGTTCATGTCGGTCAACCTGCTGGTGTTCCTCCGATTAGGTCATGGCGCGATCCAGTCCTGGTTTCATTGCCTCTTTTGTTTGGCAGCATTATAGAGAAGTCTGTGATCTAGGTTCTTTTAATATTCGCAGTTATGTGTCTGAAATCGAAGTGATGTATGCATCCCGCCTTATTGTTTTTTTTTTTACACCAACCATGAGTAATAGTACTAGGGCTTTGATAATTATTAACCTTGACTTCAAAATTTGACCTTAGTCTTGCCTTCGGTCACCAAGGCGCTTATTAAAAGTGCCAGGCTGCATATTGCATGAATACTGACACCATACTTGTAATTTGCAACGACAAAAATGTTCCACTAGGCCGTTGTGTGTTGTCTGGTCACTGGTGTCCCTCCGGGCCGGTGTGTGTTGCCTGGTGTCCCGGTGGGCGGGTGTATGTTGTCTGGTGTCTCAGTGTGTGTTGTCTTGTGTCCCACTGGGCCAGAATGTGTTGTCTGGCGTCCCGCTGGCTTGTGTTTGTTGTCTGGTGTCCCGGTGGGCGGGTGTATGTTGCCTGGTGTCCCAGTGTGTGCTGTCTGGGTGTCCCGCTGGTTTGCGTTAGTTGTCTGGTGTCCCGGTGGGCGGGTGTGTGCTGTCTGGTGTCCCGGTGTATGTTGTCTGGTGTCCCAGCGTGTGTTGTCTGGCGTCCCGCTGGTTTGCGTTTGTTGTCTGGTGTCCCACTGGTTTGCGTTTGTCTGGTGTCCCACTGGTTTGCGTTTGTTGTCTGGTGTCCCGGTGACCGCCAGGCTGTTGGCGGCGGCCGCCGCGCCGTCTCCTGACCGCGCTCTCTCACGGCCCGCCTGTCCAGTGTCGGTGTACGACCCCTATCGATTGGTCAGCGCCGCCGGGCACTCTTGAGCCAGGCACTGCGGGCTGGCGCTACGAGCAAACCTATGCTGGGCACGCTTGGCTAGGACCGAAATTTCCATGCGGTTATGGGGACGGAGGATTTCCCCATCGGTCCGTTTGGGCGCCCGTGCTCGGTCTCAGACAGGCGTCGCGGTGTTCAGACGGGTTGGGTTGTATGTCGGACGCACCGGTTCACATCTGACACGCCGTCACCCAGGCGAGGCTCGGTAGTCGTACCGGTGGCGTCTGTTTCTTTCAGAACCGTATCCATAGGCACATGGTAATTTTAACTACCGGTCGCACCGAGCCAGCGGTGTGTACCGGCCAGCGGACATCTGTGCATTACATCACCCCGCTGGAGGACTGAACGTGCACTGGGTCTGGGCCTCTTACATGCCCCGATGGAGATCTGACATGGCCCGACCCGGGACAACCAGCGCACGCTTGTTAGCGGAACACGGCGGAACTTTGAGTCCTTGGTTGGCATAACTCACTTGAAACCCTGATTATAGGTTAGCGTGCGTGTGCACACTGCATGGCACAGTCTCCACTCTCCAGTCTCAACCACACCACAATATAATTTATCATTTCTGCTTGTTACTCCGTGCCCTGCGTGACGCAGCAATTGTGGCTGATATCGGCGGCGACAAACAATTTGTAGATCTTGCGCGCCTATTTCGGAAGAACTATCATGCATGCATTACTTATCACACTCGTCTGTACCAGTCATACTAGCCGATCCGTTCGAACGCGACTGCGTGGGATCGGACTGCTTTGCGGAACGTCTCGGATCGTGGCGCTACGCAGACTCTATGATCCCGGACCTTTAACTTTGGATCCCTTGATAAATTTTGCTAAATTTTCCCCAAATAAATATCGTGGCGACGGATTAATATGTTTCTCGACAGCCTTCTCGTATTCCGTGGATATATTTTTTGTGAAACATGAAGTTCACAATTTTGGTCAGCGATGAGAGAATAGGACATTAACTGAATTTGGAGTATTTCGAATTAGTCGCTGCTATTGTGTGGCTCCGGACTTGTAAGTGCTCTTGTCTCGGTGTATGATCCGAACCGACCAGACCTGACAGTCTAACCGACCTGACTTGACCCAACATGACCTTATCTGACCTGTGCCTGAGGTAAACTAACCTGACCTTACCCTACCTGACCTGCCCTGACCTGACCTGTCTGGCTGCAGACGGCGGCGTCAGGTGGAGACTGCCGCGGCGGGCGCCGGCACTGGCCCGGAGCTGACGGCCGCCGGCCCGGACCCTGCCGCCGCCGCCGCCGGCCCGGTGCTGGCCGGTCTGCGCGTGGAGGTCTCCTACAAGCCGCCGGACATGGGCTCGGACGGCGTCATCAGCGTGCTGCAGGACCGCGAGGCCACGCTGCGCCTATTCGGCGCCGGCCTGGCCGACGGGCTGCGCTTCAAGTTCACCGGCGACGCGCTGGAGCCGGGCGCCAGCTGCGAGCAGAGCCAGACCACCGTGGCGTTCGAGGTGGGTCCGTCGGTCCGTCCGGGACCGATGAAGTTCTAGCTGTAACCTTGCAGTATCTCCGAGCGGTCCCGACTGACCGGTGCGGTAAACTCTGTCTATACTGTTGGTCCAGTCCTGTCTGTAAGCGATGCGGTACATCTCTCTGCCCTGTGTAACCCGCGCGGTAGGTCTGTACTGTTGGCACATTCCTGTCTGTAACCGGTGCTCGGTGTCTGTCTGTCCGTGCTGCAGCTGAAGTCGGTGGATGCGGCCGGCACGTCGGGGCTGCTGACGGTGGTGTTGCCGCAGCTGCCCAGCGGCGCCGAGCGGTTCTACGTGTGCGGCCAGCCGGCCGGCGGCGGCCCCTACACCCACCTGGGCTCTCAGCCGTACCTGGCTATCGGCACGTTCCCGCCGCTGCTGCCGCTGGCGCTGCATGTGGTGCTGCTGGTGGTGCTGCTCTGCTTGTCGGGCCTGTTCTCCGGACTCAACCTGGGCCTGATGGCGCTCAACATCACCGAGCTGAAGCTGGTGCTGTCCACGGGCACGGACAGCGAGAAGGGCTGGGCGCGCACCATCATCCCTGTGCGCAACCACGGCAACTACCTGCTCTGCACCCTGCTGCTCGGTAACGTGCTCGTCAACTCGTCACTCACCATCCTGCTGGACGAGCTCACCTCCGGCATCGTGGCCGTCATCGGCTCCACCCTGGGCATCGTCATATTCGGCGAGATCGTGCCGCAGGCGCTGTGCTCGCGCCACGGCCTGGCCGTCGGCGCCAAGACCATCTACCTGACCAAGCTGTTCATGATCGTCACGTCGCCGCTCAGCTACCCGATCTCGCTGATCCTGGACCGGGTGCTCGGCGAGGAGATCGGAAACACCTACAACCGCGACCGGCTCAAGGAGCTCATCAAGGCAAGTGGCCCGATATCTACTCCTCCCCACACTCACCCAACCTAACGCCGCGACAAACCACATGGACGAGCGCGCACACCAACAAAATCCTGATAACTTTCAAAGCCTCGTATTCTAAAGAACAGTTCTTTTCCCGTCCCTAAAATACACGATGAACGTTTCGGCGTCACCGCAATCAGCCTGTCAAATGTTATCTTCAGTTGTTACAGTTCGCCTGTATCTCCGCAAATCCATTGGGTATAGCTGAAAGGGTGAATTTGTGTTCGTGTAAAGATAGCAATCACCGAACAATGTAGAACTGTATATTGAAACAACATATATTTTTCCTTTCAAATTTACCTTGCTGAACCGACCGGCGGCGCTGGGACCGATCCCGAAGGTTAAAGTCTAATTGATGTCTGGATGGGGCCCTAGCTCAGCACGTTGTCTGGATAACCTTTGTCAGCGCCAGCAGAAATTTGCTTCCGTGAAGCAGTTGAGGGCTATGTGTTTAACACCTATTTTTATTCGTCCTATCTAGTTCGACCAAATCAGGTGTCAGTTGACACTTGTAGCGCAGACCCAGTGGCGTTGATATGATTACGTGTGCTGCCGTATGGCGTGAGTGCCGAATTACGGTGGTTGCGCCGATTGCAGCCGTGGGACGTGTCGGTGTGTTGTGAGAGGCGCGCGGTGGGGCCGCGCCGGCGACGGCGCAGCTCGATAGTGCGGGTGGTACGGCCGGGACCGAGCCGACGGGACGCCCCCCGCCCCCCGCCCCGCCCCGCCCCGGCCCGGCCGACCGGCGGCGCCGGGACCGATCCTGAACGAGACGCGCAGCACTCGGCCGTCAGGGAACGCGCGTCAGTCTGTGTGCACCTGAGGCTGATTCTGTGGCACAGGTTCATGCGTAGAAGCCGATAGCTTCCACAAAAGTTCCACAGCAGAGCAGTCTGATCGGTCGATAGTTTAATCTGCCTTCCGCTGGTAGTGATTTTGGGACGCCTGTTTCGCTGTCGTGTCGGGCCGACCTGATCGGGCCGCGAATCGATGTCGAATCCCCGGCGGCTCGTCGGGGCTCGCTGAGCGGCCGCGGCGTCGACCCGGTGGCGGCCGGCGCGCCTCAGACTGCTCCGGGCCGGCTCCCTCGCAGTACCGGGTGACCCACTGCGGTACCTGGGGGCGGCCGTGAGGCGCCGCCTGCCCGTCACCCGTTACTCGGCCCGTCCGCGCTCCGCTCCCGATGTAAATCACACGCGCGGCTCATTGTTGCGCGGGCCGGCGCGGCGCCGATTTGGCAGTGACTGACGCCGCGCGGGGGACGGCGGCGCCGTCCAACCCCGGACCTCCTGGAAGCGCGTCGGCGGCCGCCGGCTAACGGTTGCGCCGCGACCTCCATTTCCCTCGCCAGGGTCACCCGGGAAATGGGAACACTTGCATATGGCTCGGTACATATTCGCCGAATTGACTGGACGCGCTACTGCTGGGGTGTGGAAATCGGGCGCACCACCAGCACCACTTCAACCAGTGGTGCTGCTTCCGTTTGTGGCACGTGACTGCTTCACCGTGCCGGGATCTGACAGCCTCCCCGGCTGGGCACTGGGACCGCGAACCCTCTGCAGCCGGAGCGTACCGCCGGGAGCGGTCGGACTGTGCCTCTGAGAGCGGTCCCCGCCAACTACACATGTACCACCGGAAACGGTCCCCAGCGGCTATGTATGTCCCAATGAGAACGGTTCTCATATCTCGCCACTAGGAGTTCGTGACCTACCCCTGTCCCCCGCGAGAGGCCTTCGGAGGCCGTGCTTTCCACTGTCGCCGCCCTCTGAGTGCCCGCTGGTGTTCCAGGAAGACCTAGCTGTCCTCCGAGGACCCCCCGGCCGTCCTCCGAGGACCCCCGGCCGTCCTCCGAGGACCCCCGGCCGTCCTGTCACGTGGTGCCGCCCGCGCCGGTGCGGCGACTTTCTCCACAGAGGCGCCGGGCGGCGGCCTCGCCCGCCTCGCCCTCTCCGTTCCGTTCAATACGCGTGCTGTTGGCGGTCGGCCAGCCGGCAGCCAAGGTCACCAGACGGCCGCGACGGTCACGGCGGGCGGTGGGGGTCCGTCAGCGCCCGGTCAGCTGACCGGCGGGGAGCACCTCCCCGTCAGCAGCTCCCCACACTGACCGGCGGGGAGCACCTCCCCGGCAGCAGATCCCCACACTGACCGGCGGGGAGCACCTCCCGGCAGCAGCTCCCCACACTGACCGGCGGGGAGCAGCAGCTCCCCACACTGACCGGCTGGTGGGGAGCACCTCCCCGGCAGCAGCTCCCCACACTGACCGGCGGGGAGCACCTCCCGGCAGCAGATCCCCACACTGACCGGCGGGGAGCAGCTCCCCACACTGACCGGCTGGCGGGGAGCACCTCCCGGCAGCAGCTCCCCACACTGACCGGCGGGGAGCACCTCCCGGCAGCAGCTCCCCACACTGACCGGCGGGGAGCACCTCCCCGGCAGCAGATCCCCACACTGACCGGCGGGGAGCACCTCCCGGCAGCAGCTCCCCACTCTGACCGGTCGGGGAGCACCTCCCGGCAGCAGCTCCCCACACTGACCGGCTGGTGGGGAGGTGGACTGGCCGGCGCCGTCGTCACCGCGCGGTCACCGGCGCAGCCCGGACCCCAGGCGGCCACGTGTAACGGCCGGTCTCGGTGACCCCCGACAGACTCGGCGCCCACTCCGTGTGCCAACGAGATCAAACCATTCCTTGTTGATGCTGTCTCAGGAGTGCCCATTCCCTCTCCGTTCGGCTGCTGAGAGCTGTCGCCCCCTCGATCCTGTGCGTTTGTGTTATGATAATGCCATTAAGCCCAAATTATGTGGCTTTTTATCAATATGGCTCCAAATATTAATTTGTAACTAGAAAACTAAGCAACAACGATGTCGTGCGTCGTAAAGAAGGGCGATTAGAATTAGAACGGAACTTTACCAGAAGTAGCCGATGGTTGTATCAATGATATGATCGATCTAGCAATCAATGCTCCGCTACAGACTGGGATATTGGAGTGGGGGAACGTCCCTGTAAAGATAGATGGGCAATGACACATGATGCAAGGAAGTAGATTTACCAAGTCGAGATAGTGAACCATAATGTGAGCCCCGCCCCTAGGCGTACGCACAGGGAAGCAGACACGCAGATAATGGGTAGGGACGTTACCCAAACACCCCGGAAAGGGATGTGAGCCGTCCCACAGTTACAGCGAAGCAGCCGCCAGGCCGAGCTGGCGGGTGTTGTTCAGTCGGGACCCAGTTTAGCTGGCCGTTACTGGTCTGCCTGCCACCTGTGAGCGCCGAGCGGTCGGCGGCCGATCGGCGCGGCCGCCAATAGCCGCAGAACGCTCACGTCGCGACCGACGGCAGGTATTTTAGAATACCGCCGACGGTCGGGCGGGCGGGCGGCCTGGCCGGATGCCCAGCTTCCGCCGTAAACACGGCCTGTTCGCCTGTCGGTGTGTGTGGCTCGGCTGCCGGCGGAGCAGTCAGGGCCGGGGGTCGGGTGCCAGTCAGCGGCCGTCACCGACAGCAGGGGGTGTCACCGTCGGCCCGGAGCGCTGACTGACGTACCGGCGGGTGACTGGGACACCTGCCTACGACCCGCATCCAGCACCTCCGACCCGCGGCCGGCCCGGCCGGCTGCGGGCCGCCACCCGCTCCAGCCCCAGGGCGCTGACGTCACGGCCGAAACTGAGAGCGGCGGCGGCGGCCGTGACCGTGACCGGGCGCGCCGCCGCCGCTCGGTGGGCGGCCGGTCGATGGCCGACTCCATGGCGAGCCGGGTAACGCTACTGCCGCGGCTGCAGGACGGTCCAAACAGCTGGCAGGCGCCGCGTGTCACCTGATGATGCCACAGCAGAGATTGGGAGGGAGAGGACGCCCCACCCACACCCACGCCCGCCTGGGTGTGTGTATTGGCGTGATGCGGCTCCAGTCCGTCCGAGCTGTCCTGGCCCGGGGCCGGGGAAGCCCCGCGGCGGACTGCCGGTCACTGTCCGACTTCCGACCGGCTCCGGAGTCCGCCGCCGACACGATCAGGGCAATGACGCGGGCCGGGCGACGTGTTCCGGCTCAAACTGCCATCGGCAGAGGCCGCAGCGGCTGATCGATCGACGATGGACCGCCACGCAGTCCGCAGAACGCGCCCGTCCCGGCTCAGATAGGCCAGGCAGGACTGAGGGTTTTCTGGTCTCCAGCCTTACGGGCTGATGCCGCCGCTCGGTCGGTGGACGGAGCCGCCGGCCGGCGTGCGTGTGTCAGTGTGCTCCGGTGTCCTTTGGTGGGTACGGTCGATGGGGGCGCGGGCGTCGGACCGGCTCTGGTGGCCGCGATCCCCGGCCGTGGCACAAAGAAGCCGTACACTACAGCCCGCGTAATAGCGGTGTCTTCCGCGACACTGCACAGTGGGGATTTTTCCGATCTAGCACGTATTTATTCGTAGAGGGCAAACCATAGGTAGAATTGTAGCCAGATTGTGCACAGATGTTGGCTGGTGTGTCCTGGTGAGAATTTTACCTGTAAATGTGCATAATCAACATAGTATAGGGGGTTCAATTGGACCCCCCTCTCAGCCGTTTGGCCCCTGATCAAGCTAGAGCTTCGCGGAAAAGTCCAGCGTGCTGCCTATGACGAAATTAGGCCGAATATATCCAATTTCAAAGTCCAAGGTCATAAGCTGACTTTCCAAGTCAGTTTAATGACCCAACTAAAGTTGGGAAATCGAGACCTCTTGAAACTTCGCAAAGTTAGGGTGTTACGGGGTATTTTGGGGTGCTGATCAGTGATCACGAATTTCATGTTAGTTTTGATCACAGACGATGTCTTTATGCATTTAGGCCAGGTCGGGTCAGGTCAGGTTAGATCAATTAGTAGGCGTCCTGCCGGCCATCCATAGAAGTGTCACCTACTACTGATAGCTTCGTAACATGGAACGAAGGCACTAGAACTACTTCGTAAATATTCAAATGGCTGCTAAAATCGAAATCAGCACCAAAAACTACCCTAGAAACAAGTAAAACTCGAAAAAGTGAACCAAGGTCATCAAAAGGTCAATGACCTTGACTTGACCTTCACGTGACCTTGACTCCCACCATTATGCATGGCACCAACATCATTTCACATATTTGAACGTTTAAAACCACAAAAAGACTGGAAACCGCGGATAATGTGAGCTGGCATACGCCGAATCGCGATTCCGGCCAAACATGGTCTCGAGAAATATGCCACAGGTCAAAGGTCAGTTGGGTCAGAGTCATGAAATTTTTAGGTTAGATGTAAAATTGATGATCTCGAGGGTACCGAAAGTTTCGGCGCGATCGGCCGCTTTTTGCGCGAGTAATTTGCGGAAAACCATGGGGTTTTATCCGACCCCTTCCCCCTCCCCCTCCCCACAAGTGCGATGGTTAAAGGAAATAGTTCACATTTTAACATGGGTTTTGAACTGGAATAGCAGTTCCGTAGCTTGGGCTGAGACGAGCATAAATCAGGAGCTTTTACAGCCCAACGATCACCCTAGGCAAAGATATTCTATTTCTCGTCCCGAAAAATGTGTCTTGCGTTGAGGATGTGTGCCTTGCATATATTCGCATCCAGTATGAAACGAGCATGGGTCCCGAAAATTCTTCAGAAACTAGAGAAACTATCTACGAGAACTCTACAGAAATTCGCTCCAGTGAGGTGCTCCAGTAACAAAAGCACGAGCAGATCGCCCAAATGCCGGTGGCCGCGATAATTTCTTAGTTTCTGAAGAATTTTCGGGACCCATGCTCTTTTCATACTGGATCGCGTGTGCCTTACAGAAACTGAAAAGTTCTTCCTATATCAAAAATATAGAAAATAATCTTTTGCTGTAAAAAGGTTTTATTTTCTTTGCTGATCATTTTGAACATAAAAAATCACAAATCCATTGCAAAAAAAATAATTTCGTGAAAGTGAACTATTTCCTTTAATAAGGTTATGGTATGTATAATTTACGCTTGTCATCCTATTCCTAATGAATGTGTCTCAGAAAATATGCATCATATAAATCACGAAGTAAAATAATTCGCCTATGTCCGGAACATACCTATATCGTGCTGTTTGCCCTAGCGCTCCTCGAGTGGGGTGTTAAGATACTCTAATGTGAATATTCCGTGTTCAGGCAAGTTTCGGCAGCCAAACTAGGCGTTGTCTTGTGCAGAAGAAAGTGGCGAATTCGATAGGATATATTTCGGAGTGGAAAAGTGTGGAGAACATTATTGATTTCCTACATTTATTTAGAATACCATTCCTTCAATATGGTGTCTGTAAGGGTTTTTTGTAAAGGGCATTTTTGTGACCTTAGTAAGGTTGTGGCATACTTTCTGTTTGCCATTCCATTCCTAATAAAGGTGCCTTTCAGGCGATATGCAACTTTAAGACCTCGCAAGATTAAAACCAACAGGACAGGACAATGAAATTGAGCTATACTTTCGGGCCTTGCTGAGCCCATTGAGTAATCACGCATGAGTGTGAACTTTGGGCGCATTTTTCCTAGTTTTGCTGTGGACATACAGATAAAACAATGCCATATATGAAAAATTCAGACATTTCTTAGCTCTACTGACACAAAAAATAAACAAAAATCCAAAAAATATTTTTTGAATTAATAGGCGCTAGATCGGAAAAATCCCCACTGTGCACTGGAGAGATTCCCACTGATATGTGGTGTGGGCCCTGCTGCCTGCCTGGCCTGGATTTGGGTGCCGCTCTGCCCAGTGTATGCTGCCCAGTCGGGAGTAGGGCTCTGCCCAACCTGTTTAGTGTATGTATATCATTGGCGTTGTACTCTCGGATTATTTCTCCGTGATTATAAACAGACCCAGACAATTTAGCTGGTCCTATGCGGTGGGGCGCCGGTCGAAACTGCGCGGTGCTGCCCGCTGGCCGCCGGGGTCGGGTCGACGGCCAACGGCCTACCCTCATTGCTGTAACCTGACGGTGGCCGTGATCTGACCCGCCGTGATCTGACCTGACCTGACCGTGACCTTTGTGTCCCTGCAGCTCAACAAGGACGACATGGGTCTGGAGAACGAGGAGCAGAACATGATCGTGGGCGCGCTGGACCTGAAGGCCAAGACGGTGGCAGACGTGATGACGCCGCTGGAAGACGTCTACATGCTGCCCTACGTGGCCATCCTCGACTACCAGACCATCTCAGAGATCATGGAGCAGGGTGAGCGGCGGTGGGGCGCCGGGCCTGCCGCCGACCGCCAGCGCGGCCGCCTTATCCGACCTGCGCCGGAAGCCATACGCCCTTCGGCGCTCGATGAATGCTGAGTGATCAGATTGGCGTGAGCGAATGCATGTAACATTGGTAACAGTGTAGTGTTTTGTCATTGTTTGCTCCCGGGATCTATTCCGTGTGTCGGCCGGCGGCGCTGCCTCCCGCGGGGCTCAGTGCCGCCCTGCGTCTGACGCCCGGCCCCTCCCCGCCCCAGGCTACTCGCGGATACCGGTGTACGAGGGCGACCGCTCCAACATCGTGGCCGTGATGCTGGCCAAGGACATGGCGTTTGTCGACCCGGACGACTGCACGCCCATCAAGACGCTGTGCCACTTCTACCAGAACCCGTGGTCGTTCGTCTTCGAGGACGTCACGCTGGACGTTATGCTCCGCGAGTTCAAAGAAGGTGGGTGTCGGCCGGTCAGCTCCTCCAGCCGAGACAGACCGGGCGGCGCCCGCGAACACTGGTCTGTGTTTAAAAGTTAAAAACAGTGTGCTGACAAGCTTCTTATCTGCTGTTTACCTGAAGTGGTGGATTTGTGAATGGCGTAACCTTTTTATCATATCAGTGGCTCAAGGAGCGATTAACATGCTCAGGAGGCCTGCGATATGATTGTCGTATAGTTTCAGTAACTGAGCGGTGTATACCCAGGGGCGTATACCGTAACAGTAGCGCCGGGCAGTCTGTGTGCCGTGGGTAATTAATCACAGACAGCATACCGCCACCGAGTCGAGTCATCCAGCGCCCAGCGACCCCCGCCAGGCCACACCGTCACTGACGTGTCAATTATTTGGTTTGCAACTGGACCAGATAGGATTTCATCAGCAACCAAAACCAGGTGGCATCCGTACTGTGCATCAGTAACTCACAGCGGCTGCCGCTCATCAGAAAATGCTTACCGCGGGGCGGGAGGCCGGCCGGGGCGGAAGGGCTGTTTGTTTGGCGGGGCCCGATCTGTGGCGCGGGGAGAGCCGGTCCGTGGCGGGGCGGTGCTGGCCTCAGCTGCTAACAGACGGCAGCCGCTGAGGGTCGGCGGGCGGGACTCTACCCGGGCGGGTCACCGGGTCCTGCCGGCTGCCGTAACACTACAGTCGCAGTATCGGATCGCTCCAAGGTCAGTATTCATGACCTCAGCGCGCTGACGTGTGTGCCGCGCCGTTCACAGGCAACAAGGGCCACATGGCGTTCGTGCAGCGGGTGGTCACGGAGACGGTGGGCGACCCGTACTACGAGCTGGTCGGCCTGGTCACCCTGGAGGACGTCATTGAGGAGATGATCCAGTCCGAGATCGTCGACGAGACGGACGTACTCAGTGAGTGGCCCGTCCAGGGGACATGTCCCTCCCCTGCCCGGGACCAGACGGACGTGCTCCCCCCTCCCCCCTTCAGCAGCGGTCTGAACTCCCTCAGCGACTCCGTGCTCTCTCCTCGTAGAGCCTCTCTCCTCGTAGAGCCTCTCTCCCCGTAGAGCCTCTCTCCCCGTGGAGCCTCTCTCCCAGTAGAGCCTCTCTCCCTGTAGAGCCTCTCTCCCAGTATGTAGAGCCTCTCTCTCCGTAGAGCCTCTCTGCACGGCACCGCCCTTTGTCCGATGGCGCTCCGACTGTCACTGACCGTGCTGCGCTTTTCGGAATCGTTCGTGCCGTATAGTTTTTCCGCGGTGTATTTCCGTCCGGTTCGGTCCGTTCTTTTATCAGTAAATGTGGTTCTGGACTTATCCCGCGTATATTGCGTGAGTCACTCTGCTCGCCGCCCACCTATGTGACTCGTGTGATTCTCTGAACTCTAACGGTACTGACATAAATCCCACGCTGTTTCATCGACTTCTCACCGAGTCGGTGAGCTCTCAGTTCTCACGATTCTGTCATGTGCCATCCCACTCCGCTAACAGTGACACATTCCTTACTGATTGGTCATGTATGTCTGCAATATCTGCACCGACATCCAAATCACACGCAATGTCCGCTGCATCTGCCCCTGATGGCCATCTCCAAGTGCTGAGCTTTCTGTCACCCATTGGACTGCCCCTCCCCCTGGATCTGGATATCCTGCGCTGTGACGCGTCCATAACCCTTTCCCGGCCAACCGTTCGGCCCTGGTACGTCTGGAGAGGGTAGTGTATATGTTTGGAGAGGGGAGGGACCGGTTTCATCTGGCCGCGGTCCCGGCTCCACTCTGTCCGTCCGCCGTCTGCCCCGGCCCGTCTGCTCCGCCGCCGCTGCACCGGTTGTCAGCGAGCGGCGCCGGTCGTGTAGCACCCACGGCGTTTTTACGGCGGCCTCCCCTGTGGTCCCGGTCTCGAACCGGAGACACATGATTGCTCGCTCAGGGGGCGGGGGGGGGGGGGGGTCGGCCGCTCCTTTCCCGAGAATCGTCCGGCCGCGCGCCCGGGACCTGATGAAACTGGGGTGGGTAGTGAGGGAGGGGCGCCACGCAGTCGCGGCGGCACGTCGGTCGGAAGTCGGGAGCCGCGGCACCACCGACCGTGGGAGGGAGGGCCTCCGCTGACTCCGGCCGGACTGCCGGTGGCGGACCGCGGTCACTGCGCTCAATGGTACGGCATGGCGCCAATTGCGGGCCGCTCTCGGTGACATGGGTCGATGTGTCATACGTCCGGTAAGCCTGCCGGGCTAGCACCGAGCGCCTGTGCCATGGGGTCCAGTAGCAGTCGGCTGGATAGGGGGATACCGAGCGTCCAGCGGCAGCCGGCGGATAGGGGGATGCCAAGCGCTTGTGCCTCCAGGCCATCCAGCCGCAGTCGGCGGGATGTGAGGGGAGGGGGAGTACCGAGCGGGTTGTGTCACACAGTCCAGCTGCAGCCGGCAGACTGGGGATACCGAGCGCCTGTGTCACACAGGACGCCCTGGTGCCGGTCTTATCTCCCCTACTGCCGCAATATCTCCCTGATCAATCGGCGCCTTGTAGCTGCGACAAACAAACGTCCGAGACTTCCGCCGGCGCGGCGGCCACTCCCGGCTCTGCGAACCGGGCCGGCGCTCGGCGGAACGGTGGGGACCGCGCTGCAAGGAGTGGCCGGTAGCGCGAACTGCCGGGTGTGGCGGCGCCCGGCGGATAGAGAGCAGCGCGGGGCGCCGGGACAGGGCACGGCCGGGTGGGCGGACCCGGCACGGCTGGGACTGATACCCTGTGGTGGGGGCCGCCGGTCGGACTAATGCCGTGATGTGTGGAGGTACCGTTGGGGTGATCGTTTGTATAATGTTAGACAATCGGTAAGGCTGATACCGGGTTATGGGCCATCGGTAGGGCTGCCTCCATGCTGTGTGCCCGACTCCGTCGGTACCTCAGTGGCGTATCCATCGGTAGGGCTGCCTCCATGCTGTGTGCCCGACTCCGTCGGTACCTCAGTGGCGTATCCGTCAGTGAGGATGCAGTTCAGGAGGCCCGCTCGCCCCCGACATCCGAGCAGCCGGGGCCGGGGCCGAGGCGGGGGCCCAGCGGCGCCCACATCCGATCGGCCGCCGGCTCGAATTGTATTGATCAGACGCCGGCGGCGGACTGCGTAGTAGGGGAACGGGTGGTGGGTGTCCGTGGACGGGCGGGGGCGCCGCCTGACCTCCCCTCTGACCCCTGACCTCCCCCCTCCCCACCCCGCAGTCGACAACAAGACCAAGAAGCGCCGCGGCAAGAAGCGCCGCATGCCGGACCCGATCGCGTTCGCGCAGCCGACCAACAACCAGATTCACATATCGCCGCAGCTGGCGCTGGCCACCTTCCAGTTCCTTCAGACAGGTGAGCAGACTGTGTGATACTGCCCCCCCCCCCCCCCGCCTTCCAGTTCCCTCAGACAGGTGAGCAGACTGTGTGGTACTCCCTCTCGGAAGAGGCTGACTGTATGGGAGGTCAGCTTCAGTATTCTGCCCAGTGTCGTCAGCTCTCCCTCCCTCTGCTCTGGGCTGTGATGTGACCGAGCTTGGCGCTATGGTCGGTACGCCGGACCGAGAGGCGGTGCACCATTGTACACCCCTCACCAGGTGCCGACCGTGAGCCGACACTATCGGTCCTGTCCGTACTGTGCAGTCTTTGTGCCGTCATATCTGTTACTGTATGCCTGGCCTATTCAAATACATTAGCCTGAGGGGTGTGGTAATAACTGGTGTAAGCAAAGTGACCACGGTCAAAAACGAATTACCAAGTCAACATTTTGGGATGGCCTCGTTCAAAAAACGGCTAAGAGCTTCGGTCTAGACAATTATTTTATCGTTGGCATACAGTAAAATACATACCAAACTCGGCCGGTGATAAATTTTTAAGACCTCAGTCCTTACTGATTTTTGAACTCGGCCTTCGGCCTCGTTCAAAAATTCAGTAAGGACCTTGGTCTTGAAAATTTATTTACACCGGCCTCGTTCAGTATTATATATCACCGTGTTTGTTTTTGCAATGCTAGATAGTCAACACTTGTGACACTGCTGCACGGCGTATCTCGTTTTTTCCTCCTCCTACTCTCTCCCTCTCCCTCTCTCTCTCTCCCTCTCCCTCTCCCTCTCCCTCTCCCTCTCCCTCTCCCTCTCCCTCTCCCTCTCCCTCTCCCTCTCCCTCTCCCTCTCCCTCTCCCTCTCCCTCTCCCTCTCCCTCTCCCTCTCCCTCTCCCTCTCCCTCTCCCTCTCCCTCTCTCTCTCTCTCTCTCTCTCTCTCTCTCTCTCTCTCTCTCTCTCTCTCTCTCTCTCTCTCTCTCTCTCTCTCTCTCTCTCTCTCGCCCTTTTTCGCCACTCCATCTTCCCCTTCATCTCATACCGCTCCAGGGACAGTATTGTTGTTTACTACCGTACCGCGCTGGTCGTAAATGTGGTGATTTCTCCTCGTACTGCGCCGGTCGTCTGACGATCCGTTCCCCCTGTGATCCGGACAGTGGAGCCGTTCAAGAACGAGTTCATCTGCCCGTCGGTGCTGAAAAAGATGCTCGAGCGCGACGTCGTGCGCCACATCAAGCCCCGCGACGACGCGAACGTCTACATCTACGAACGGGTTAGTGGCGGCTGTCGGGGTCAGTTAGGTGCTGCCCGGGGTCAGTGGCAGTTACCGGGGGGGGGGGGGGGGGAGGAGTCGAACGGTGGGGGTGTGCGTGCTTGGCTCAGTAGCTGGCGCGAGTTATTAATTGATATCGTGCTGTCATTTCACAATATGTTGACCCCATGCCAGTGACATTTTATTTTAGGTTAAACGGCATCATTGTGAATTATGTTCGTACTCTGAAATCCTGAAACACGGGTCAGTCTCGCCACTTCCACAGCAGTACTACACTATTAAAAAGAATAACATTTCATGTAAAATTTGACAAGTTACATATGATATTCTTCTATCTGAAATATTTAGGTGTCAGAGTTGGTGTCTGATGCCAGAAGCTCGCGGGGCAGACCTGTGCAGTGTGTACTTCCTTTTTCTGGGCATTTTTTTGTAAGTAATCTGACTTTGTAAAAGCTTTGTACCACTGAGGATCGTTTCCACCTATAATTTCTTCGTTTTCTTTTCTTGTTTTTATGATATAGTCTCCATTTAATTAATTAAGCTGTAGGTATTTGGAGAAGCAAGCTTAAATTTGGCTTGAGATCTGATTTCGGGAAAAGTCGGAATTGCATTTTAAGATATTTGGATCTATAGGACGAGTACATTGGGTCCGCCTTATTGGGCCCCTTGAAATTTCTATGTTCACAACGAAATAGTGTTTGCCCGGCTCTGTTGACAGCTGGGAGAGGCATACTTAGCGTTCTTAGTCAGCTTTACGACGGTTTTCTGGTTCGTTGTGATGACGAATTCCGTCGGTTTTTAATTCGGATTAATCTCGCGGCGATCACGCTGGTCCGTGGTTACACGTTATCATTCCCACTAGCTGCGGCGATTTCGTCACCCTCGCCGCAGAGTCGGTATATGTTGGATGTCACGATAGCGTGGCGGCGTGATCTGCAGCTCGGAGGTGTGCCCGGCCGGCCGTGTGGCGGGGAGATTTCCGCCGCTCAGCTCGGGTGTGCGCGCCGGCCGGTCAGGTGGGCCGCCGGCCCCGCCGGAGTCGGCTCTGCGGTTGTGGTCGTTGGATGACTGCTGCTCTGCACACTCCCCGTGTGTCCGGTGTTCGTACGGCCCGGGCCGGTCGGCTCGGCAGACTCGGGTCGGCACAGGTGCAGCCGTACCGCTCCTCCCGGGCCCGTGTCCACGGCGGCCGTGCCGCGGCGCTCTGCGTGCCGCTGCTGCCCGCTCCTGTGTGCTGGCGGCCGGCTGCGGTCATCGTGTCACGTGCACTGATAGTGTCACCGTGGGACGAGGAGGGGCTGGGGTACCGGGATTGAACACACAAACACTGCACACGGACCCGCGTAGATAGGGAGATGCCGACGGGTGGGCCGTGCGCCGGGAGTGTATGTAGTAAAATCAGAAAGCCGGTATTAGTGGAAAATAGGAGTTCGAATATCAACTGTCTCTATCATTATCGTGGCGTAAAAAGTACCCGGATTGCCTGCTTCAAATCGTTTATAGACCTTACCGTTAACCGGTTGCGCATTTATCGTCTTCTAGTTTGCGGGAATTGCCGTGGTTACTAAGATGAGATCAGTGACATTTATTTATGTCCTTTGTGTTTTTATATCGGGGACAAGATCAGATATATGTGGCCATAAAGCCGCACCAGGCTGCCAGTGTCGCGTCCCGGCCCGCGAGTTACCTAAGTGTGGAACTACAAGTCGATTCTAGGGCTCTGATTGGTGACTTTGGTCGGGGGATGACGCTTATAGCATGACGTCACTCGCGTACTTGGCCGGACCAACGGCGCAGCGCAGGCGCGCCGAGCCAACCCAGAGGCTCTCAAACTCAATTGTACAGATCCTGCGCATTGAATGGCGAAACTTCGGCGAGTTCGCTTGAGTTTGGAAGCCCCTGCCAGAGGACTGGAGACGGCCGGATTATTTGCTGGACAGTGGGCAGCGCAGATGGCGATTGACGGTGCCAAAAAGATGATAGGGGAAAAGGAGTTGAGACTTTAGCAGTGAATTATAAGCCTGTTGCATAGCTGAGTGGTAAATTGTAAAATACTAAGGGTTTGAAGAGATGCAGTGTAGTTAAGCCGACTCAGGGGCATTCTGCCGAGTTATGTAAGGCGGAAGGGTCGCAACTCGCAAGTCGTTTGTTTCCATGATTGCCTGATTAAAATGTAAAGCGTATCTAATGTTTAGTTGATAATACAGCGAGGTTGGGCATCTGCTCAATCCATTTCTTCTCTGCAATAGTGCATTCGCCACTGTAATTCATTGTAAGAGGCACTGGGCTGCGCCGCCTGTTAATTATTCCGAAACCACCAGTGAACTCATTTGCTGTCGTCACAGTCACTCACAACAATACGAATCGTTCAGTCGTGCGCTGGGGGTCCGCCAAGTTTAATTGTGCTGCAGAATGCAGACTGGACCGCCGAGAATATAACACTTCCGTCTTCCTGGGCGAGCGGCGCATTGGAGCCGAAGGAAACTGCTTCAGTTTTTTTGTGGGGAGGATACCCATGTTTGAAAATTATGTTATGGAATGGTGTGATAAGGAAAAGGACGGTTTCTTGAATTGAGGGCTGTGGAGAAGAGGCAGATTTTCTCATTTGCTACCCGATGCAACGCAAAAAGACGCAAATGTTGCACATTGCCGCTTAATAAGTCTAATAAAAGATAAGGGACTTCGTGAATCATGCCTAATTGACCGCGACCAAGTTATTTGCCAATGCAGGTAGGCACTAGGTAGGTAGATACTCATTTGTGAACAGAACGTTCTACCACCCCTCGCCAGAAATTCAATCAGCAGTTGCTTATTAAAACGTTTGAGTGCACCTGACAACCTTTAAAAATGACGTCCTCCCTTTCAATGGTTCGTGCGAAGACACAAAGCCAGAATCAGCCAAGCAATATCGGAATCCATTGCGCAGTGTGTCGGATGTGCCCCCAGTTTTCAATCCACATAGCATAGCACACACTGCTAAATGCAGGTACGCTCACCTACACATTAGGTATTCGAAGGACTTAATAGCTCATACACATGGAAGAAACACATGAAATGTGATTTATAGCTGCAGCAGAAGTTTGGCGTCCGATGCCTCTTCGCCAAGTTAAGACCATGCCAATCTCGGCCAGTCTGCCGCTGCGCCGGCACTGGCCGTGGTGTGACGTCATCCGGCCGGCTCGGCGCTGGGTAGTTCCACACTTAGGTAACTCGCTCCCGGCCCGGCCCGTCAGCCCGTCGGGCTTCTGTGCGGGCCGATCCTGAGCCGCCGTCTGCCGGCGGTGGCGGCGAGCGGCGCCGGCCCGCCGCCGGGACCTCCCGGGCTCCCCAGCTGCCGTGCTGTACCGCGTCAGCGAGCGTCGGCTGGCGCACTGTACCGCGTCAGTGAGCGTCGACTGCCGTACTGTACCGCGTCAGTGAGCGTCGACTGGCGCACTGTACCGCGTCAATGAGCGTCGACTGGCGTGCTGTACCGCGTCAGTGAGCGTCGACTGGCGTGCTGTACCGCGTCAGTGAGCGTCGACTAGCGCAATGTACCGCGTCAGTGAGCGTACCGTCAGTGGTACTTATGGTACTGTACCGCGTCAGTGAGCGTCGACTGGTGCACCGTACCGCGTTAGTGAGCGTCGACTGGCGCACTGTACCGCGTCAGTGGCCGTCGCTCTCACTGCCATTCCTGCACTATTTCTGAACATCAGTCGTAATGCACTGTCGAATATAAATGATCACGTATTTATAAACGCGTACAAGTATGTGGACTTCGTTTCAACTTTCCGCCCCAAACGCCTGTTGTGTTTAACAACCCAGTCGATAAGGTGCTTACATCACATGCTACCAGTTTGTGTATATAAGGCGAACTAGGCTGACCGGAAGATGATTCTTCCTCGAACTGTGGTATGAAGTTCACCAGTAGCAGCCTTGTATCAGGTTTCGCCAAGGTTTGGATTTCTACCTACCTCCCCCGCGGGTGACGTCGCTTTCGCTGAAGTTGTTTGTTTGTGTGTTTCACAGAATAAGCCGGTGGACTTCTTCTGCATGATTCTGGAGGGTCGCGTGCACGTCACCATGGGCAAGGAGAACCTGGCGTTCGAGAGCGGTCCGTTCAGCTACTTCGGCACCCAGGCGCTGGTGATGCTGCCCTCGGAGTGTGAGTTGGACAGCGGAGGCCTCACCGCGGCCCGCTGGCAGTATGTCTTCCCCTGCCTCTGATGTGTCACCGCGGCCCGCTGGCAGTCCGTCTTCCCCTGCCTCTGATGTATCCACCCACAGTCTGTAATCTGCGTATGCGGATTGCGGTCTGTGATCCGGCCGTCTCAGCAGTGCACCGTGCCGCATTGAGGCGGGTGTACCGTACCCTGACCGTACCGTGTACCGTAGTATTGATCAGTTCTCCCCTACCGTGTCAGTTTAAGTGGTCTCCTGCTGTGGCCGACGTACCGTGCCGTATTGCGGCCCGGTTACGCCGTGCCCCCGCCGTTCTTTGAGCTGTAACTGACGCGCGGCGTCTGTCCACAGGCGAGGCCTCGCCGCAGCTACTGCGCGGCTCGGCTCACTCGCTGGACGGCGGCATGCGCGCCAGCTTCACACCCGAGTACTGCGTGCGCGCCATCACCGAGGTCTACTACCTGAAGGTGCGCCGCTCGCACTACGTGGCCGCGCGCAAGGCGACGCTGGTGGCGGCGCAACGTGACCCGTCCCGCTCCGTGGACCATTCAGAGTCGCTGGCGCACGACATGGCTGCACTGGTGAGTCGGCGGGGACAGGGAGACGACTGGTGAGTCGGCGGGGACCGGGAGACGACTAGTGAGAGGGCGGGGACCGGGAGACGACTGGTGAGGGGGCGGGGACCGGGAGACGACTGCTGCACTGGTGAGAGGGACCGGGAGACAACTATCGCACTAGTGGGAGAGCGGGGACTGCCGCACTGGTGAGGGGCGGGGACGGGAGACGACTGGTGCACTAGAGAGACTGGCGGGGATGGGAGACTACTGTCCTGGTAGGGAGTCGTTTGTGATGACTTCAGTCTGTTTGTAGCCGTGTAGGCGGGAGAGGCGCCCGCCCTTACGTCCCTCACACGATGCTGAGTGTGGCGCTTATTCCGACATGTGGCGCAGCTAGCCGTGACTGTATGCGACACAAACCCGCGCCGGGGACGCGGGGCGTTCAGGAAAAGGAGGTGATAGGTTCAGCGCGGGCAGTGGGCTCTCGTGGTCGGTATAGGCTCCCCAGTCGTCATTGGAAATGTTTGGCTGAGTTAGAGGGTGGGGGCTCACCGACTAGCTGAATTGTCTGTCAAGTGGTGTGTGGTAGGGCGGCCCCTCCGTACTGTGCCGCTGTCCGGCGGGGGAGGGTGGTGACCACGGCTGTCAGGCCCGCGGTGTAGGCAGGACCTCGCTGACCGGGGGGCCGGCTGTGTCGGCAGGGCTCCCGGACGGACTCGCTGCGCGACTTCCACCTGAACCCCAACAACACGGTGAGTCGCAACGGCGGCGACTCGAGCGCCACGCTCGTCTCGATGCCGGACGGCGCGCCGGCCCAGTCTGCCGGCGGCGGCGGCGGCGGCGGCGGCAGCGACACGGAACAGTCCGAGATGAGCTCACTGCTCAGTGTGCCGGCCACGCCCAGCGGCCCGACCGCCCCCGCGCGGCACGTCAACTTCGTGGAGGTGCGTCAGCGCAGCGCCTCCCATCCGAGCGAGGGGTCGGCCGCCGAGCAGCCGGCCGACGGCGACGAGCCCAACTCGGCGGCAGTGTGACGCACCGCGCCGGCGCCGACCCCTCTGTGCAATAGGGACAGTATTCGCAATACGGTTAGGGGCGGCGCCCCATCCTTAGATATTCTAAGTGAGAGTGCTGTATGAGTGCTGGCTGCAGGCTGCCGCTGCAGTCACTGGGAGGGTAGCGTGGGAACAGACTAAGACAGCCGCGCGCGCGCCTGAATACATGTCCCGAGACGTGGACCCTTGCTCATCACTCATGTAGACGTACCGCGCGTTTATTTTTAGCCCGTGTGTTGGCCGTGTGTGGGCGCGGTCCCGTGCAGATGATGTAGGGGGCGCCGCGCATACTGCGCCGATAATCAAAGTGTAGGATTGCCGTCTGTTCGGAAACTGCTTATCTTGTAGATGAGCAGCAATAATGGTTAATGTTAGCTACTATTTTATTTTTTACTCTCACTGACCATCGTTAGCCAAATCAATCCTTTCCTTGCTATTGCACGGAGCCCCTCGTGCTCATTATCATTGCCTTTTAACGTTTTCGCTCGCTAATTCTGTATGGGGAGGTCCTCAGTGGGATATCGGACCGGCGCGGGGCCGGTGACCGGGTGACCTTCCCTGCCCGCCGAGCCCGTCCTGACCGACCGTGACCCAGCCGTCCGTGTGCCTGCAGGCCGGCCTGTCCGGCAGCGATCCTATCGTCCGGCCGGGCGGCCGCCGGCACCGGGTCGGCTTCCAGCTGTCCCCGCCGGCCGACCCGGGCCGGCCTCGGACCCGCGCCTCTCCCGACTTCGGCCGGCCGCCGTCACCCCACATCGCCACGCTGTGAACAGCGGCGCCTCTCCTGATATCGCCACAGCCGCGCCTCTCCTGATATCGCCACGCTGTGAACAGCTGCGCCTCTCCTGACATCGCCACAGCCGCGCCTCTCCTGATATCACCACAGCCGCGCCTCTCCTGACAGCCGCGCCTCTCCTGATATCGCCACGCTGTGAACAGCTGCGCCTCTCCTGACATCGCCACAGCCGCGCCTCTCCTGATATCGCCACAGCCCTGATATCTCCTGATATCGCCACGCTGTGAACAGCTGCGCCTCTCCTGACATCGCCACAGCCGCGCCTCTCCTGATATCACCACAGCCGCGCCTCTCCTGACATCGCCACAGCCGCGCCTCTCCTGATATCGCCACGCTGTGAACAGCTGCGCCTCTCCTGACATCGCCACAGCCGCGCCTCTCCTGATATCACCACAGCCGCGCCTCTCCTGATATCGCCACAACCGCGCCTCTCCTGATATCGCCACAGCCGCGCCTCTCCTGATATATCGCCACGCTGTGAACAGCTGCGCCTCTCCTGACATCGCCACAGCCGCGCCTCTCCTGATATCGCCACAGCCGCGCCTCTCCTGATATCGCCACTCTGTGAGCAGTCGCGCCTCTCCTGATATCGCCACTCTGTGAGCAGTCGCGCCTCTCCTGATATCGCCACAGCCGTGCATCTCCTGACATCGCCACAGCAGCGCCTCTCCTGATATCGCCACAGCCGCGCCTCTCCTGATATCGCCACTCTGTGAGCAGTCGCGCCTCTCCTGATATCGCCACTCTGTGAGCAGTCGCGCCTCTCCTGATATCGCCACAACCGCGCCTCTCCTGATATCGCCACAGCCGCGCCTCTCCTGATATCGCCACAGCCGCGCCTCTCCTGATATCGCCACTCTGTGAACATCAGCGGCTCTCCTGATATCGCCACTCTGAACGGCCGCGCCTCTCCTGATATCGCCACTCTGGGAACAGCCGCGCCGAATCGCGCCTCTCCAACATCAGACCTGTGTATCTCTCCCGACATCACCCGGCGGCCTGTATATCTCTCTCGACGCCACCTATCCTGACATCAGCCGGCGGCCTGTACCCGTCCTGACAGCCGGCGACCTGTGCACCCATGTCACCCGGCGGTGTGTCATGTCCTGGCCGAGTTCCAGCGCGTGTGTGCGTGTGTGGAAGGGAGCGCCTGTCCCGGGTCCGGGCGGCGCCGCCTGTGTAGCGGCCGTATTATAGCGGCCCGCGGCAGCCGGCTGGAGCAGCAGCTCTCTTCTTTTGATAATTTGTTTTCAAGACAGGTGTGGTATCGCCGTGACGAACTAATTAGTGTATCGGCGGCCGACTAGGTAGTTGCTGGGTTCCTTTTCTAGTTATGATCTGTTCTTGAAGCAATGAATACACGGAGATACGTGAAGGCGCTGCCGTTTGGTGAATCCTGACGACATATAACTAAATGGTTGGTGAGCAGAGCCTACGAGCCCAAACCAGGGCCGAACCAGCGCTCCCGTGCGAACTTGGTCGGCTGATACATTTTGACGTCAGAGCTCAAACGAACCGCGCGGATCAGCAGAGCTCAGCAGGTTAGCAGTTTGTCATTGAACAGAATCCCTGTCAGACCCGAATACAGGTACCAAAGCTATAGAACTCTCCGCAGGAACTGGGAATGGTGAGCGTGTCACGTAACATCTACAGAAGTCTGATAAATTACCACGCTGTCCTCCGAATGGCGTCCAGCACGCAAAACTCGGCCCGCCATGCTGTGAAGTTGGGTATCGAGTGGAGGGGATATTCATAGATCAAACGACGGGCGGCTGCTGACCTCGCCCACTGCACTGTCGGGATCAGCGGCTCTCAACAGAGCGAGGCTGTCGGCGCTAGTCGATTTTTATCTATTTCGCAAAACATGCAGAAGGTCAAACAGTGATCTAGGCCTCGTCTCGGGATTTAATAACGCCACCGAGAGACCAATTAGGTCTTGCAATTGTGACCGCCTGGGGGCCACATTGCCAAGCCTAGCTTCGGTCACCGACATGTCACATGGAGAAATGTCTCCGTGAATTCTCAAGTCCATGCGATCTTATGTGTAGTTTTGGGTAAGTCAGACCACTTTGAATAGCCCTCATCCTTGTCCCGGATAATTTAGCCACATGCTTTAGCTTTCAGTAATTAAGAGCTCTATCAACCACTGTTCGAAGCAAGGGTTCGAAGTTCTAAATCCACAGACCACAGATCTGTGCAGCGTGCACCTGCCAAACGCAGTCGCATTTCCGCGCAGTCACGTACCTAACCAAACGATTAGGCTGAAACTGACCTGGAGCTAAATTATTCGCTCGTACGCTTAAAAGATGCTCGATGAGACGTGTCAAGAATAACGGTGCTAGTTCCACCGGAAAAGGTAAGCCCTGCATGATTTGTATCTGTGGATATCGTCCCGTCCCGTCCCATCAAACAGCGCCGGTCGGCGACGCGCGCGTCCCCCTAAACACCCCGGGTGTGCGCGGTCGTGTATTGGCGGCGGGGACCGGGTCACACGCGGACGGCCCGCTCTGACTAGGGGCGGCACCTCTGGCACACGCAGGTGGCTCACAACCATCCAACACCGGCCGAAGGAGCGGCCACCGGCAGCAGTAGTCACAATTGCACACGAAGGAAAGCCACCTGGGAGGGAATAGTTCACCTGCAGCCCCGGCTCCTAACTGACTAGATATCATGGCAGCGTGTGAGTTGAGAGTTTCGCAGGCTAAGTTGATTTTCTAGAGATTCCATGAACATCCCTAAGACGGCAGTTCTGTACACAGTACACGTGGGGCCTGATTGGTTAGTGAGCCACTATTGTCTGCAGACAGTATTCGCGTTCGGTCAGTCCACCTGCTGACCGAACGCTCGGCCCGTCCAGGGGCAGACGACCGCTCAACAAAACAAAACTGCGAGTGCCTCACCCAATCGGTGACATGTAAAGGAATGGCTTAAAGGCGGAACGTAAAGTCTGTTAATTATCTTAATTTTATATGCATCTATGTTCGCCCCACCAGGCTGAAGGAAAGTTAATATGAAAACCATATCTCCAAGTCCGGTCATTGTAATAAGATTAATCCGTAACAAAGGCTGCCTTGAATGAGTGAGTGGATTGTCGGCTTAGCTTCTCGCCGGCTGCCTGATAAAACTCGATCGGGAGTGAACTATTCCCCGCGCAGAGGCTCGCAGTATCACACGGTTACGGGGCAGACCTGGCGACCACTTCTGTCAGCACTATCCCGGCCTCACTAGCCAGTGGCGGCTGAACAAGCGACTATGTTGTCCCAACACCCCAACCACCTCAGCGACGATAAAACGGGTCAGTCACACAGTGATTCACTACAAACGCAAACAGTATAGAGCATACGGCAATATCACCCGGGTTAAACACTCAACACAGGTCCGACGGTAAGGACTCGGCAGGCGTCAGGGCACGCACCGGCCAACACTCCAATCCGTCCCATAGCTACCGGCGCAAACTGTGGCCCAGGTCCAGGCTGGGTCGGGGACCACGCACTCCACCCCAGAGCTACCCGCGCAGAATAACACTGGCCACAGACTCCTGCCCAGGCTGGTGGCAGCCACGGACAGGCCACAGACTCCAGTCTAAACTGGCAGTCGCACGTCAAAGACCACAGTCCGGACTGGCAGTCACCAACGGTCAGACCACATACATGCTCAGTCTCAGACCAGTTATAGCTGCTACGGTCCGAAACCTCACTGCAGTCTAGGCTAGTGGTTGCCACGGTCAGGCTATGATGCCACTAACTCCGATTGAGGCTAGTCGTCGCCTAAGACAGACCATAAGTCACTGCTCCGACTCCGGCCTGTTGGCCTGGCGCGCTGCCGTCGGGTCCGGCCCCTAAGCTCACTCAGCCCGCGTCTCAGCCCGCTGTGTTTGTCGTACTGCAGAGTCCTCTCAGCGGCCGCCCGGCCCGGCCCGCAGCGCCAGCGGCAGCGCCAGGCAGAGCAGCGACAGCGACAGTGGGCCGGCGGCCGTGCCGGCGCCGCCACACGCCGGCTTCTCCTGCGCGGGCACAGACACGCCGTCAGGGGTCGTACAGTGTCCCGGTCCCTGCCAGAGACAAACAGCGGTCTCCCCACCAGCAGGCATACTACAGCTCCCTGACCAGTAGCGAAGTAGAATTTCCTAGACTAGCAGCAGCCCCAGCACCAGCAGTCTCTCTGACCAGCCCGACCGGACCTCTCAAACAGCCGCACCATTCGGATTCACTGGCTAGCGTCACAGCACAACCTCCCCGACCAGCGGTGTATCGCAGCCCCACAGGCCACAGCCCCTATCAGCCGCACGGCGCACAGCCCGCAGGTCAGCCTTCCCGGATCAGCAGTAGAGGAACACACGCACAGCTGACCTAACTATGAGTATATACAGTGCGGGCGGTCGCGGAATACTCACGTTCTCGTGTGTGGCGAAGCAGGTGTCGGGCCGTTTTCGGAACGGCGCCGTCTGGTTGACGCTCTCGAGACAGCGGTCCGGGCCGATATCTGCGGGGGGGGGGGGGAAGGGACAGTGTCAGACACACCGTCAGACATAACAGCGGTCTGGGCCAGTATCTGCCGGGGGGAGAGCTGTGTGGACACTGCCCGGACCCCGGCCAGACCTGTGAGCCGCCCAGTCCTCCGTCGTCCACTGCAGTGCTCACCTTCCACGGGCTCGTGGGCGGGCCGCTGTCCGTAGAGGAGTCCCCCTCCCTCCCTCTCTAAACTCTCACCTTCCACGGGCTCGTGGGCGGGCTGCTGTCCGTAGAGGGATACCCCTCCCTCCCACTATAAGCTCTCACCTTCCACGGGCTCGTAGGCGGGCCGCTGTCCGTAGAGAGGTCCCCCTCCCCTCAATCTCTAAGCTCTCACCTTCCACGGGCTCGTAGGCGGGCCGCTGTCCGTAGAGGAGTCCCCTCCCTCCCTCTCTAAACTCTCACCTTCCACGGGCTCGTAGGCGCCTCCCTCCGCGCGGGCCGCTGTCCGTAGAGGGGTGGTACCCCTCCCTCCCTCTCTAAACTCTCACCTTCCACGGGCTCGTAGGCGGGCCGCTGTCCGGGCGGCGGCGGGCAGCCGCACGGCAGACCGGACACCACCAGCAGCAGGTTCGTGTCGTCCACCAGCGCCGCCTGAGAATCGGCAACAGAGGGATGGATGTCAGGACAACCGACCAACGGCACACGCGCCGGCGGGCTACCGACAGACGTCACCGCGAGACAAAGACAAACCTCACACCAACCAGCGAGCACCTGCGCTGCCTGACCGCGGGCTGACAAAGGTCAACGCTGGACGCAGACGCCTACCCACCCTGAAGCGGCGCGTGCAGTCGCCCTCCTCTGGGCAGCTGGTCTCGCCCTGGTAGGGCCGCAGCGCTGCCACCAGCTGTGTGCGCGTCTGACGCTGAGTGCACGAGTGGTTGTCCGCCTGGATCTCGAAGCCGAACTCGTCCAGGGCAGAGACGGGCGCCGTCTGTGCGGCCAGCAGCCAGCTGCAGTGCCGAAACAGGTCAGTCACACACTGAACCAGTTCAAACAGCACAACCGCACTCGGCGACAGTGAACCATTCAGCCAGAAAAAAAACGCCCGGTCACATCAAAGCCCATCAGGTAGGTACGACACAGAGTTCATCAACAGCCAATACAGTCATTCCTCTAATGAGATGCTCGTTACAGTGCGATGCAGCAGTCACAGTATCCACAGAGAAACTCAACACGGCTGCACCAGTGTCTGGGTGACGGCGTTGGCCGCGGCCGCCCGTAACCGCCACCCCGGCACCGGGCCGCTCACCTGACCAGCAGGTAGCGCAGGTAGTCGAGCCAGCGCAGCAAGCCGTACGCCGAGTCCAACAGCAGCTGCGCGCCCAGCCAGCGCAGCGACGAGCCGGCGCTCGCCTCGCCGCTCGGCTTCAGACACACGCCTGTGCGCAGCGACAGCGGTTACTAAAAGCAAGTACGGCATAGCCGGGTCCAATTTATAACACACGATGTACATAACACACGATGTACAGAGCATCTCACGGGCCTTCCCGAGGGCCTATTGACAGTTTACCAAACTGTCAGGCTTTGTAATTGCTTAAAATAATCAAGGTCAAGAGAGGTTTTGTGATGAGAGCGAAGGGCCATGATTCATCCACCATGCCACTCTCCGAAATGCCACCCTGAGCCCTCACTCAATATAGCCGTAGTCTACTGACTCTCGTATGTGTACTTTGACCTGGCAGTTGTCTATTGACTCAGATAGTTGTACACTGAACCCGGTAGTTGTACAGCGGCCCTGGTAACTGCCTTCTGACCCTGGTATCTGTACACCGACCCTGGTAACTGAACACTGACCTTGGTAGCTGTACACTAACCTTGGTTGCGGTCTACTGACCCTGGTAGCTGTACACTCATCCAGGTAGTTACACACTGATCCTGGTAGTTGTACATACAGTGACCTTGGTAGTTGCACACTGACCCTGGTAGCTGTACACTGTACAGTGACCCTGGTAGTTATTCACTAACCCTGGTAAGTAGCATTTATTCACTGACCCTGGTAGCTGTCCACTAACCCTGGTGGCTGTCCGCTGACCCCGGTACCTGTCCAATGACCCTAGTAGTTGTCCACTGACCCTGGTAGTTGTACTCGGTGGTCTGGCGGTACACGCCGGCCGCCACCAGGGCCGCCATCAGCTCTGGGTCGCCGGCGCCCAGGTGCGGACCGCCCCGGTCGCCCGTGTCGTTCCTCAGGGGCGGCAGCTCGCCGCTGGCGTACACCACGTGACCGCCCGTGTCGAGCAGCCAGCAGAGCAGGCCCGACTCGGGCGAGCAGGCCGGTGCCGCCGAGCCGGGCTCGGTCAGCACACCGTCGGCCAGCGACCACAGCCAGCCGCTGCTGAACTGGACACCGGCCACTGCAGACAGACATACAGTCAGTGACCACAGCCAGCCGCTGCTGAACTGGACACCGGCCACTGCAGACACACAGACATACAGTCAGGGACCACAGCCAGCCGCTGCTGAACTGGACACCGGCCACTGCAGACACACAGACAGTCAGACAGTCAGACAGACAGTCAGGGACCACAGCCAGCCGCTGCTGAACTGGACACCGGCCACTGCAGACATACAGACAGACAGACAGTCAGGGACCACAGCCAGCCGCTGCTGAACTGGACACCGGCCACTAGCAGACAGACAGGCAGGCAGGGACCACAGCCAGCCGCTGCTGAACTGGACACCGGCCACTGCAGACACACAGACACACAGACAGACAGACAGTCAGTCAGGGACCACAGCCAGCCGCTGCTGAACTGGACATCCGCCACTGCAGACAAACATACAGACACACAGACAGACAGACAGACAGACAGACAGACAGATTGACAGTGAGACAGATACACAGACAAATAACCGGGAGGGTGGTCAAGATACCACAGCAGTTGCACTACGCATGAACCTTCAAAAAGCGCGCGCCAAGGGGTGCATTGTGTAGTGTACGACTACGTCCGACGTTCTATTCTGACTACTCCCGCGTCTCAGAAGTGGCTGGAGTTGGGTCCGGTCCGCCCCCCTCACCGGCCAGAGTGCAGATGTCTCCGGTGTGGGTGTCTGTGGCCCCTCCCCCCTCACCGGCCAGAGTGTAGATGTCTCCCGTGTGGAGTCTGTGGCCCGCGGGTCTGCACCCCCCCCCCCTCTCACCGGCCAGGGAATAGATGTCTCCGGTGTGGAGTCTGTGGCCCGTTCGACACCCCTCCCCCTCACCGGCCAGAGTGTAGATGTCTCCGGTGTGGGGTCTGTCAGGCCCCTCCCCCTCACCGGCCAGAGTGTAGATGTCCCCGGTGTGGAGTCTGTGGCCCCTCCCCCTCCCCTCTCACCGGCCAGAGTGTAGATGTCTCCGGTGTGGAGTCTGTGGCCCGGTCTGCACCCCCCTCCCCCTCTCACCGGCCAGGGTGTAGGTGTCTCCGGACGTGTGGAGTCTGTGGCCCGTTCGACACCCACTCCCCCCTCCCCCTCTCACCGGCCAGAGTGTAGATGTCCCCGGTGTGGAGTCTGTGGCCCCTCCCCCTCCCCCTCTCACCGGCCAGAGTGTAGATGTCCCCGGTGCGGAGTCTGTGGCCCGTTCGACACCCCTCCCCCTCTTACCGGCCAGGGTGTAGATGTCTCCGGTGTGGAGTCTGTGGCCCGGTTTACACCCCTCCCCCCCTCACCGGCCAGGGTGTAGATGTCCCCGGTGTGGAGTCTGTGGCCCTCTCCCCCCCCCCTCTCACCGGCCAGGGTGTAGATGTCCCCGGTGCTGTTGGTGACCGCGATGCGGCGGGCGGCCAGCAGCCGGCGCGAGCCGGGCCGCGGCCGCACCACCAGGTCGTCCACCAGAGAGGCCTGCCGGTACAGACTGCTGGTGTACGGCTCCGTCTCCGGCAGCAGGCCGGCGCCGCTGCAACACGGCGGAAACGGCGGCGCGTCAAGAGGGCGGCCGCTGCAGCATGGGCGGCGCGTCAGACACTCAGTCAGACCGTCCGCTGGAAGGGACAGGGGGCCGACAGACACACCGACCCGCTCGCCGAGATGGTGGGGGGACTGACTGACACACCGACCCGCCAGGACTAGGAGGTTCTAACCTGTCGGCAGGGTGGAAGCGCGTCAGGCCGCCGTCGGTGACGAGGAAGCGTCCCAGCACGCCGGCGGACTGGTTCCTGCTGTTGTTGTCCCAGAGGGTCTGCGCTACGGCCGTCCAGTTGACGTCCCAGAGCAGGTGCTGCACCAGATCCTGAGAGCCTGCCGACACCGGAGTGGACAGGTGGGCCGAGTCAGATGGAAGGACGGATGGACAGAGACGGGTAGGGAGACATAGAGACAGACAGCAGCCACATCCAGCTGCTACCTAACTGAAGACAGGCACACGATTTTCAGATACACGCGCGTACCCAAAAACACACGGACGCAGAGAGACCGACGCCGTCGATAGGACAGAGTGGATGACGTGGCGGCTTTGCATTATCACCATGGAACCACCTCAGAAAGCAAACCTTCTACGAACAGTGAATATTAGTGTTTTGTAAACGGAGGTTCTCGCAAGACGTAGCATAACAAGAGCCCAGCTGAAGTGCGGTGGACGCCCGCCAGCTCACAGTTCCGCCGGGGCACTGGCAGTGAGGCACTCGGTTTTCACAGTTCAGTAGGGTACTCACAGTTCTCAGCTCCCGCCTGCAGGCGCTCCGACAGCTGGCGCCACCGCTCCGAGGCGTTGCCGCTCAGGCCCGGACAGAACTGCCAGGAGGCCGCCAGCAGGCAGGCGCCGCAGTCGGGCAGGCCCTGGCGCACGTCCTGGCCGCTCACCACCATGTGTTTGTGTGTGACCGGCAGCGCCAAGCCGAGGCTGCCGGGTCGGGCACACACCGCGGTCACACAATGTCCGTCAGGGTACTACAGGCCGGCGGGCAGCGGAGCAGATAGAACACCGACGAGAGGACAAAGACTGGCTAGGGAACAGAGGCAGACATTTTTACGGTTGTTAATGAGCATTTAACTTCAATACTCCTATATTCCGGATGTATGTAGAGGAGTCGAGGCGCCGCGGAGTGTATGACAAAGTGTTGGGTGACTGGACTGGGAGCGGCGGTCGGCGGTGGTAGCCAGTTAGCGGCGGTTAACGGTCAGCGGTGACCCACCTCCGAGTCGTGTTGTCGACCGGCCGCCAGGTGAACCGGACGGCGTTAGGACTGGGGACGGGGCGGTGTCTGACCCACCTCAGAGTAGTGTTGTCGACCGGCCGCCAGGTGAAGCGGACGCGGCGCAGCTCTACCTGGTGGCCGTCGTCCAGCGGCACCAGCTGGCTCAGCTCGGCCGAGTCCGAGTTGCGCCGGATCATCTGAGTGCGCATCTCCACCACCTTGTACGAGTCGCCCTCCAGCTGCACCAGGTCCAGGTCGGGCGGGTCCTGCGGCGGCAGCGGCGCGGCGTCACCGGCCGGTCCGCACGGCGTCCCACCCGGCCCGGCCCCCGACTGTCCGTGCAGCGTCCCACCCGGCCCGGACGATCTGACAGCACCCCCACCCGGCGCGGACGGTCAGACAGCACCCCAACCGGCCCGGACGGTCAGACAGCACCCCCACCCGGCGCGGCCCGTCAGCGGCGCGCCGCTCACCTCCATATAGTGCAGCGGGTTGCGCAGCCGCGGGTGGAACACCACGATACCGTTCGGGTTGATGGCGAACGTGTATCCGAACGGGCCGAGCTTCTTCCACGGCGAGTGGCGCAGCAGCTCCTTCATACTGATATCCACGCCGGCCACACCCATCAGCGACTGGCCAGACTTCTGTGGAAAGGGGGACAGACGGGGAGCGTCAGAGTCTAACCACGACTTCTTGGGACGGGGGCGTCAGAGTCTAACCACGACTTCTGGGACGGGGAATATAGGGTCATCAGAGACAGGCCCGCCTTCTGGGGACTGGGAGCATAGGGTCATCAGAGACAGGCCCGCCTTCTGGGGACTGGGAGCATAGGGTCATCAGAGACAGGCCCGCCTTCTGGGGACTGGGAGCATAGGGTCATCAGAGACAGGCCCGCCTTCTGGGGACTGGGAGCATAGGGTCAACAGAGACTGGCCCGACTTCTGGGACACGGGGAACAGACGGAACGGAGAGGGACAGAACAGACTTCTGGGAGACGGGGAACAGTCAGGGTCGGGCAGGAAACAGAGAGCTGAAGCCGTCTGCTCCGCAATTTTCCAACACATCATTATCAATGTCCCCAAAATGTGGAGACAGATCCACCCACAGCTGCACTGACTGAAGGCCTGGTGGACAATCCCTCACAGTGTTACAGCCGTGTGGACACAGTGCTACAGTCACTTGCTACACAGTGTTACACCGTGCGAACACTGCCCGTTCCACTCACAGTCAGTGTTAGAGCCGTGTGGACACTGACAGCTGCACTCACAGTCAGTGTTACACCGTGTGGACACTGACAGTTCAACTCACAGTCAGTGTTAGAGCCGTGTGGACACAGTGTTGCAGTGTTACACAGCGTTACAGCCGTGTCAGGACACTGCCAGCTGCACTCTTAGTCAGTGTTAGAGCCGTGCTAACACTGCCAGTTGCACTCACAGTCGGTGTTAGAACTCACCGACTCTGCCGACCGGTTGAAGACGGGCATGGAGAGGGTGGTCACGTAGCCGAGCCCCTGTGAAAGGCGCCAGTCAGGGCACACACGCCAAACTCCAGTGAAACATACCAGAGCGACCATGTCACACACCAGATGGGCTTCTATATTATAGCAGCTTCAGAGGCCATGACCAAACTGAATGCACAGATTAACTGCATACACAAGATTCACATAAATGATTGCTGGATTACTGGCGGTATCCCTCGAATCAAACCCTAAGCTAAGTGGGTCGCTTGTAGTTTCCCACGGGCATCCCTACTAGCTGTTGGGGTTATCATTGCAGGGTGTCTAATGGGCGTATCTCCCCAAAATACCACTTCGAGCAGCTGTGGGATGGTCCCAAACATACCAACTGAGAGGGGCGGGGAGTTGTTGGGCGGCCGATAGAAGTATCCCCAGGCACACTAAATAAGAGGTGTGGGGAGTTGGGGGGAGGGGGTTGGCCAATAGTAGTATCCCTAGGCACACCACACTAACTGAGAGGGACAGGGAGCTGTGGGGTGGCCAATCGGTAGTACCCCGGGCCCGCTAACTGATGGGTGGGGTCCGGTTTAGGGGGGTGGGGGCAGTCGGTGGCCCCAGGCGGCGCCGCGCCGGGCCGGCGGCCGGTCGGACTCGGTCCGCGGCGCCGTCAGCCGCAGCAGGCATGCCAGCCGCACTCAGCCGTCGGGCGCGGACGGGCGGGGGCGGGGCCGCCCTCTACACTGCGCTACCAGCCGAACCTTCACTAACCATGCTCCGCCAGCACACAGTTGCAAAGTAATGCATAGCGCACACACCTCCAGCAGACTGCACTACGCCACAACTCGCATGCTATCTGATCTGGTGCGCAGCAGTTCGAATTTAGGAGCAAATGCCGAAAACGCATTGGATTACGTCCGGCAAGGCGTCGTTTTTATTTATTTATTTGTTCTTAAGAACTGAATTTATCCAAATTCGATAGCCGATCGTCTAAAGGGGAGGGGAATTTAGTAGGCGCTGACGGCATCTTTCACGCGGTGACACTCAGCATGCTCGTTTGTCTAGGGCGCCGTGTCTGGGTCTGTCTACTGGCGGTGCGCCGGGCGGCTGCAGACTACTGCCGTGTGCGCGGCTCACCCCACGGTCGAAATGCACGCTGCCCGTGTGCAGGTAGTGCGGCGGGACCAGCGCGCCTAGCCGCTCGGTATAGGTCTGCGGGCACGGCCGGCGCGGTCAGCCGGCGGCCCTCCGTCACAGGAACGAGAGGGGAGGGACGGACGCGGTCAGCCGGCGGCCCCCCGTCACAGGAACGGGAGGGCAGGGGAGGGGCGCGGCCGGCGGCCCCCGTCACAGGAACGGGAGGGGAGGGAAGGGAAGCGGGCGACCGGAAGAGGAGGGAGGGAAGACACGGAAAGGAGGACAGGTCAGGGAGGACGGGACAGGAAGATGCAAACGGGAATGGAATGTGCGGACGAGGAGTGAAAGGGCGGATAGTGGAGAACGGGACGGGACTGGTTAGGAAGGTCCGCACTGGACAGGACGGGACGGGACGGGGAGACGTGGTGACGTACTGAGTGACCAGGGCGTGCTCGGGCGGTTCAGGAAGGCACGGTGTACTCACTGGCTCAGCCGGGCAGGCAGGGTCTGGATGAGGAGCGGCGGGGCCGGCGGGCCTGCTGACCAGGATCAGGGTAGGAGCGGTCGGCGCCGGCGGGGCTCCTGTGAACAGCGCGCCGGCTCGTCAGCGGGGGCGGGGGCGGGGGGGGGGGGGGGGCTAGTTACCAGGGCGTCCGAGTAGGGCGAGCTCTCGGCCAGGTGATGTGAGTTGGAGAGCGCCAGCGGCTTCCCCAGCACGGAGAGGTACGACTCCTGCCGGTCACACGGGTCACACACGGCCCACCGGGCGACGGGGCATGGGGGCACGGGGGCAGGGGGCACGACTCCAATACACGCAGCCACACTACCAACACATCCATACAGAGCAGAGCAACACATCCAACAGAGCTATTCAGTATTCACCTCATAACTCATAGAGCCGCAAGACGCAGATTCAACAATGTTGAAAATGTCATCGCTTCTCTCCTATTTCAATACCATTTCATACAAGAAACGAAATAAAAAAATGACAAATAAGGCCATTTGCTACCATGGGCACGTCGTAGCATCGACGCACCAATTCACTGTTTGTACCTACGGGCAGATGACATCCAGACTATCCTCGCAGCACCACAATGGTGGCATCCAAAAAAACGACAAGCTCGCAGTGCATATTCGTCCGTCGGAGTGTAATCGCCACGCCGATTGTGGATTGCTCTTGATTGTCAATACATACATACATACATACAGTTGAACCCCGTCCACCAGTACGTCTGTCCGCCTCTCCCACCGGTCCCGTCGGTCTCGCCTGTCCCCCTCCCCCCCCCCCCCCGGTCCCGTCTGCCCGCCTGTCTCCCGCTGGCCCGCTGGCCAACTATGCACGCACACGATCCATCCACTCGGCTCAGATGGACGATCAATGGCGGCACGCGACGGCCCGCCGGACTGGGACGGAGTGGGTAAATTGACGACACGACACTCGGGGCTTCCTTCACAGTCCCGACTGCACGTCAGGGGTGGGAAGGAGCAGCGGTACAGTGACGGCAAGCCGACTAGGACTATCCGACTACTGCCCCTGTCAGCGCATCCCAAGGTGGGAGGGAGCAGGTACAGCGATGGTATATAATATCTCCCAGACAGCCAGCCTCTGTCCCCCACGGCGCCCCGGGCTACCCGCCCCGCGCCGATTGTCCTCAGAGGATTACAGCGCTGTCGGGCGGCAACGCCGACTCAGTCGGCGAATTCGGTCGGCCACAGCGGTCAGCCGGCGGGTCAGCAGAACGACTGTGGCCGGTCAGCGCAGTCGGCACAACGACCGGGCCACTCCGATCGCCGCCGAATCGATAAGGGACACGTGCCACCCAGACCGGGGCGCCGGCCCATCTGTGCGTCCTATCCGTCCGATCCGTCCATCTGCCCGTCTGATTCGCTACTGTCTCCGCGGCTCCAACACTGAGGCCTACCGATTACCTACCAGATGATGTAAAAAAAGAGTTGCGGGATTGGACAAAGCTGTCGCGCTTACTAGCAGTGAAAAATACAAGCTCAAGTACGTGACACATTGAAATGCATGGCACAGAAACGTGTATGCATTCTTGGCATTGTCAGGAATCAACTGATAAATGGAATACCGCGTTCCCTAACACTGTCTCCATTGCAGCTGTTCCTGGCTGGCACCATTTGGTTAGGCGCCAGGACTGGTCCGGGACGGTCACCGCTGCCCCGGCCCGGGACGGTCACCGCTGCCCCGGCCCGGGACGGTCACCGCTGCCCCGGCCCGGGTCCGTCCGGACGGACGCCGGTGGTCCGGCCGGGGGCATCGATCGCCGGCCGGTAGAGGCCCTCGGCAGCCAGGGGGTCGTACCCCGACTGACCGCAGTGATCGGACCGCCTCCGACACCATATGGATCGGTTCACATCGTGCCTAACCTAGGAACCATCTTGAGTTCGGACTTGAGCCTATTCAGTTCGGAATTATTATTTGATGAAATTGAATAGCCAATCCATATTCGTAAGGTAGCTTTACGTTATTTAGTTATAGGTACCGTAAAGTGGGGCTATTTGAGACAGTGGGGCTATTTGAGACAGTATTTAAAATCGCTATAAAATGAAGATCGTTTGATTTTGGTGTGATATTTTTGCTCAGGGAGGTGTGGAATCGAGCAGTAAATCGCCTGAGCAAGAAATTAAGCATAAATTTAAAGTGGTTTTTATTTTAAGCAATTTTAAATACTGTCTCAAATAGCCCCACTGTCTCAAATAGCCCCACCTTACGGTACGTTATTTAGGATAGGATAGGTACGTTATTTAGGATAGCTAGTTTCTGTTGAATATGTTGCAGTTAATATCGCGCAGCTGACATGGCAGGCAGCTTGATAATGAGTCAGATGGTCGCCGCGACACACACGACACGAGTTGATAAATATCGCGCGGCAGACACTGCCTGCTGGCCGGCTAACATACAGCTGCCTGCCGCGACACACAGCGGTCGGTAAACACCGCACCAGACACGGCCGGCCGGCCCGCTAATGAGTCCGCTGGACCATACACGCGACCGGAGACGGTGTCACGACCAGCCGCCGTCGGACCGGTCAGGGGCCGGCACAAACGACAACAGCGTCGTAACGAGCTATATACAGACGAGTGATACAGAGACGAGGCGGCATATTCGGCAGAGCATCGTGATACCCGTTATTCGTTAACGCTTAAATTACTAAATAAAATTACTCCCTAAACAACGAAAGACTGCACCATAGAAAATACTGATAATGGCTGGTTATCAAAGCCATTGCCAGAGTGACACATCATCAACATTCTACGGCAAAAGAGTACAGAGGTACGGCGGAACGAGCCCCCACAGGCCACAGTCCCACCGTGCGCCACCGACCGGCGCCGGGAGGTGGTCGTCCGTCCGGCCGTCCAGCCCACTCACCTGGATCGAGGTACGGATGGCGCCAGAGGCCACGATCACAGAGAACGAACCGCCATTCTCGCAGGCCATCTTGCGCATTATGTTGGGCGGCACCGGGTGCGGCCCGAGCGCGTACGCGAACAGCCGCACGTTCTGCCGACAAGAGCGCACCGCCCGGTGAGGCCGCACAGTGCTACACGTGCCGCTAGTTTATCCATTTATTGGCATCATATACTTCGCTCTTTAGTGCCTCTCATATCTCTCCATTTCTTATAATTATTTACGTCACATTCTTTAAAAATCTGATCACATTCTACCACCAAGCAATGTGCCTGTTAGCGGTAAGACAGTGTCCCGGCGGTACGTTTCAGTAAGCTCACGGCTGCCGATATGTGTGTCTGCGTGTCTGTCTGCAGGGCGGTACGGCGGTGGAGCGGTGTGTCTGTGTGTCTGTCTGCAGGGCGGTACGGCGGTGGAGCGGTGTGCCTGTGTGTGTCTGCGGGGCGGGGCGGGGCGGGCTGTGTGCGTGTGTCTGCGGGGCGGGGCGGGGCGGGGCGGGCTGTGTGTATGTGTCTGCGGGGCGGTGTGTGTATGTCTGCGGGGCGGTACGGCGGTGGAGCGGTGTGTGTGTGTGTATGTCTGCAGGGCGGTACGGCGGTGGAGCGGTGTGTCTGTGTGTCTGTCTGCGGGGCGGGGCGGGGCGGGGCGGGGCGGTGTGTGTGCGTGTGTCTGCAGGGCGGTACGGCGGTGGAGCGGTGTGTCTGTGTGTCTGTCTGCGGGGCGGGGCGGGGCAGGGCGGGGCGGGGCAGGGCGGTGTGTGTGCGTGTGTCTGCGGGACGGGCGGGGCGGGGCGGGGCGGGGCGGGGCAGGGCGGTGTGTGTGCGTGTGTCGGCGCAGCGGCCGCTCACCTCGGTCAGCGTCTCGTTCTTGTACTTGTCGATGACATGGCCGGCCCACTCGGTGCCCCCGTCGCTGAAGAACATGATCAGCTTGTGGCACTTGGCGCCCGCGTGCTCCGGCTCCGTGGTGTAAAACTGCGCGCGACATGCACCAGTGGTTACAGCACCCGACACCATGTTCCACCCGGCACCACCCCTCCCCTGTCCCTCCGCCTCCCTTCCCACCTGGCCCCATCCGGTCCCATCCGGCGGACCATGCCCTTACCAGTCACTCGCTGCCTCCATTCCCAGCTTACCCTCATCATCTAGTTATTATTGACGAGCCAAAATCATAAGTCATACATTCTAACGAATATCTACATTTCCGTGATAACCTATCATCACTGATATTGACGTCCTATTATTGACGTATCGAAAAATGTCATTGGTATTGACCAACCACGTCCCCGGACTACATTTTCCAGCTGAATATCGTCCGTCCCTGATTGGACGGCGCACAGCCCGCGCTAACTCCCGCCGGTGACCGGGGGACGTGGGTGTCTGAACAGCTCGGCGGCCCGGCCCGGCCCGGCCCACTCACGTCGATGAAGGCCCGGTAGGCGAAGTCGAGTCCCTTGGACCAGTCGGACGTGTTGCGCGCCTGCAGCGAGTCGACGGCTGCGGCCAGCGCGCGCTTGTTGATCATGGTGGCCGGCACGAGCCGGTTCAGGCACGGGTTCACCCAGCCCACCTGGTTGGTCGACTGCCGGGGCACGGACGGCACGCGTCAGTCGACACACAACGCAAACACATTCACAGCGGCCAGCAGGACAGCGCTCCGCGCCTTCAGCAGGTGACAGCAGCAGTAAACTCAAACAGCAGCGGTCAGCACTAACGGGCGCCTCAGCGTGAGTGGAAGGTGCTCGACAGCGCGCTCCTCGTGACGACACAGAATACAGGCGCCATCGAAGCCCAACACGAATCGTTGAGCACTCCGCTCCGTTTGGGCAGTAGATGAGTCCAGAGACACACAGATTCCGGCCCCTGTACGGCGTATGCCCTGTGTCCCGCCCCGCAGTCCGCCCCGTGCCCCGGCCCCGCTGTCCCCCCGTGTCCCGGCCCGGCTGTCCCCCCGTGTCCCGGCCCCAGTACGTACCGTGTCCCGGCCCGCTGTCCGCCCGTGTCCCGGCCCGGCTGTCCCCCCGTGTCCCGCCCCGTGCCCCGGCCCGCCGGCGACACTCACCCAGGCGATGTTGACGTAGTCGTTCTCGCCCAACGTGTTGAGCACCGTTTTGACGGCGATCTTCATTATCTCAAAGGTCTGCCCGTGGACACTGCCAGAGCTGCCCACACAAGACCATTGTCACATGTCAGTGTCACTTTGTACGAAGGTGTCAGGTCCACTTGGTCCAAGAAAAGCCTACCCTATCGTTATGCTTAAACGAACAAACCGTCTCGGAATGAGCTGATTCCGACCCACGACAACGAACTCCGTAATGTGTATATGTACATTACAAGACAATATAGTACGACAGCGAAAACCCGTTACATTTGATGCAGGCAAAGGCAGTAGTGATGACTGTCTAATAAATGACCAGTAGTGACTATAAAGAGCGGGTCCTCCGCGGGTACTGAGCGTGTGCACTCAGGGTCTGGCTCACTTCACAGCCCTCCGATATCGGACCGTTCGGCTCGAGTCCGCCCCGGGTGAGTGGCGCACGGTCGGCTCCTGCTCACATGTCCATCAGAATGACGACGTCCTTGGGCGAGACGGAGCCCTCGATGTACCAGGGCCGGCGGCGCACGTCGTACAGGTCGACGTCGAGCGCCGGCCGCGGCGGCTGCCACCAGGTGGCCGGGTAGACGCGCAGGAAGCCCAGCTGCGTGCCCAGGTACTGCCAGCTCATGTGCGGGTCGCGCGCCGCGTTGGCGCGGAACGTCTCGTCCACACCGTCCGTGACGCGCAGACCGTTCAGCACGTCCACGTCTGCGCGCGCCGCGGGGACGGTCAGGGGGGCGGGCAGGGGGGCGGGCAGGGGCAGGGGGCGGCCAGAGGGGCGCGGGCAGGGGGACGGGCGGAGGGGACGGGCAGAAGGGCGGGAAGGGGGAAACGGTCAGAGGGGCGGGCAGGGGGACGGCCAGAGGGGCGGGCGGATCACTGCTCAGGGCGGGGAGGGAAAGTGGGAAGGCAGTGAGCTCATGACTGTGCGCGCGGAAGTAAGGCGGGCGGTGATGTCTATGGTCTAGGCTCGGGAAGGAGAGAACAAGTCAGCAGCTCAGTGTGGCGCTGAGAGGTCCGGCCACGTCCCGTATGTCGGGTAGACTGGGAATGGGACCATCTCTGCTGTGAGATGGGCGTGGGGAGGGGGAGGGCGGAGAGGGAAGACATCACCAACAGCCATCGGCATCAGTCACACAGTCAATGTCTTCATTACGTGCTACACTCACTGCTGCTCAGCTCACTACCCAGTCCTGATAACAGAATAGCACAGGTAACACATACATGATAGGATTGGGCGTTGATGCTTTTAATTGCCACGATGCATTGCGACCTCTAACAGTGATGTAGCTATGACGAATTTCCGAAGAGTTATGGATGCTTTAAGACGCAATTAGACATATACTTTAAGCACAACGATTTCGCTTGTTAGCATTTCTGGGATAGAAAGGTAATTAGTTTACGGAGAGTGCACCCAAGAAGGAGAGCTGGCGACTCCTCGCTGCATTGAGCGCTTACGTTTTTAACCAAATTCATTCCAGGGTCAGTCAATCAACCAAGTTCCCGATCTTTAAAAATCAATTACTGGAAACCCATCCATGAAACCAAACCCAAATTCTAAGTAAATGTTCAGAAAAGGGAAAACCAGGCCTCGTGCAATTCAGGACGCCTAAATTGGGGTATGCGTGCATTTCTCGAGAAACCATAATAAACAAGCCAGTGTATTTCACAATCGTAGGCTTATTCGGCAGAATTAAAGTTAAATTTAACCACAACGATTCCTTCTTAGATTTCAATTGAGCATTGTTTAAAGTCCTGTGCTGATCTTTGGAAACAAATGTTGATGCAAAAATTAATCATGTGACAAGACATCATAGGAAGATACCTGGTCTCTAAAAGGACTGTGCACTCAGCAGGTGATTCGACTTAAGGTTTCACTGGGATTCCGTACAGATAGTCTAATACAGTGAAACAAGTAACTACGGTAACACATCAAAGGATCCACACCAACTATAGTGACACATCGATGAGGCCGATCGTCCACAGGCACTGTGACACACCCAGGGCAGGGCAGGGCGGGGCCGGGGCCGGAGGCGGCGGGCTACCGGTGCACAGTGGTACATCGAGCGCGACACGGCACGGTGACAGGCATCAGTGCAGCGGCGCCGCTGCCAGGGCCGGACGGCGCGGGACGGCCACACACCGACGGCCCGCGGCTCCCGCTCACCAGGGGGGGGGGGGGCCGGAGGTCAGCCGGCCCAGACCGCTGTGTACTGTAGTGTACACCGCCCGGGGCCACGAGAGGGAGGGTCGTCAACCCGCCCGGCCCCCGTGCAGGGAGGGGGAAGTGGGGCGTGGGAGTAAAAAAAAAATGCGATCAAGGTTTGTGAGGGAGCCGTAGTTACGTTTTGATGAAAATCTGTCACATTCTATCCATAATCCATAGATCAGCCATATTCGTTGAATAGGCACCCCAAAGTTACAACAGTCTGGCCTATTTTTACGTTAAGAAGATACCTGCACTGGAACATGAAGATCGACTAACTTTGTGGATACCTGCGGGCATACTGTTTTAAGAAAAGTTCATTTCGTCTTTTTGGGAGCTCTTTGGCCAAGTTTAGGCCAAGGTGAATTCAAACAATGTCAAATTTGAAGAATTCATCAATGGATGCAACCAAACTTCTGATTAACGTTGAGTTTTCAATGCATTCATCGTTGACTTTTGTAGATTGTACGCATTGGTATACCACATCGCCGATAAATTGCATGTATTGGCCGCCGTCCAGTGGTTAAATCCCACATTGTCGTCCCCCCCCCCCCATGTGGGCCGCCGTCCCATACCGTCCCCCTTCACAGCTGTCCGACCCGGCGCGGCGGGCGGTCGGGCGGCCACCTGGCAGCAATTAGGCGACGGGCGACACCATCCCACAGCAGTGCATTACGGTGGCAGGAGCTGGCAGGACAACTCTGTCCGCCATCTCTCCCCCCCCCCCCCCGGCACTGTCTATTTAACCCTCGCCCGTATAGGGGGAAGGGGGTCGAACGGACCTCCCACCCCTCGGTTTTTTACGAATAACTCGCGCAAAAAGCGGCCGATCGCGACAAAATTTACCGTACCTTCGAGTTTATCAACTTTACACCTACCCTGAAAATTTCATGAACCTGATCCAAATAACCTTTGACCTGTGACCTACTTTTCGAGACCATATTTGGCCGGAATCGTGATTCGGCGTAATTCGGCTCGCATTAGCCGCGCGTTTGCAGTCTTTTCGTGGTTTCAAGCGTTTAAACATGCGATATGATGTTGCTCCCATGCATTACGGTGGGTGTCAAGGTCACCTGAAGGTCAGGTCAAATCATTGGCCTTTGATGTCCTCGGTTCACTTTTTCGAGTTTTACATGTTTCTAGGCTAGTTTTTGGAGCTGAATTCGAATTAAGCCACCATTTGAACATTCACGAAGTAGTTTTGGTGCCTTCGTAACACGTTACGAAGCTGTCTGAGGCGGTTGACACCTACGAATACCCGTTAGAACCCCTACCGGATGACCTGACCTGATCTGACCCGACCTGGCCTAAACGCATGAAGACATCTTCTGTGATCAAAACTAACATGATATTCGTGATCAGCATCCCGAAAAAACCCACAGCAGCCACACTTTACGACGTTCTAACAGGTCTTGATTTTCCCGACTTTTGGGTCACTGACCTGACCTGGAAGGTCAATCAATGACCTAGGACCTTTAACCCTCGCCCGCACATGGGGGGGTGGTTGCCACCACCCCCCCCCCCCCCAGGTAGTCTTTCTGCTCTGCACTCAACATTTTTAGAGCTAGAAGGCTGATTTTTCGTATAGCTGCTCCTCTATCCTTTCTTGATGTCCACTGAAAATTTCAAGTTTCTGTGATTTTTGGTTTCAGAGATATGACCTTGTTTTTCAGGTCATGTCATGACCTAAATGGCCAATTCTCAACATCTTGCGTTTGCCATGGGCCTTATGAGCTTTTGACACCCTGATTTCGGCCTTTTTTGCCAGTCTTACCTCCTACCTATCATGGAACATGTTGTTCGACGATGTACAGGGGTCAAGGTCAGGGTCAAGGTCAACCTAGGTCACCTAAGATAATTGCGTTTTAGGCAAGCTGAATTTACTTTTTTTGAAGTTTTTTACTGCATTTTTGGTAAAAGCTTCTCAGATCATGATTTCATGTAATATGGACCCAAAAACAATCGGTGCACACATCAGTATACACACAGACACACACAGACATACAAACACATATAATTGACCTTGACCTAACTTGACCTGAAATGACCTCAGCAGCAAAATTCTGGTCGGGTAGTGTGACAAAGAGGTTCTAGCTGGCTTGGCACCAGAAAACAGCATCGTCATCGGTATTTGATAAGCAGCACACTTGATATCCAACGGTGACCCAAAACAGCAACATTTTTTAGTTTGACCTGACCTGGAAGGTCAATGACTGACCTGAGAAGGTAAAACTGGGTATCATTGGATTCGTCTCTTCCCAAAGAATCTTTTTGGTCTTTACTGCTAAGCTCTATCTCCAACAGGAACGAAATGGCGCGGGGGGGGGTGGCAACCACCCATGTGCGTTCTAGGATGGGAAAATGGCATGTGCGGGCGAGGGTTAAATTGGGTATCATCGGCTTCCTCTCGTCACAGGCAGCCCACTCCTTTTTTTTCCACGAAGCTCTAGCGATCAAGGGCGAAACGGCAATGGGTGTCCAACGGAGCCCCCCCCCCCTCCCCTATACTTTCGCAGCTGGCAAAACAGCAATACGGGCGAGGGTTAAAATACAAAGGCTCAAGACCAAAAGGTTGGGATATGTATCGAATAATGCTCAGTGAAAGTGTTTCAGCAAATGGATGCAATGAATTTACACAGGGTGCAGACGATATTCGTATTTTGTACGCAGGTTTTAGTTCACAAAATTTCCTACTTAAAGATTGGCTTTGACCGACAATGTGTATGGTTCTACAAAGGATGCATTCATATTGCATTTATACGAGTATCGAACAAAAACATCTATATGGAGATATGAAAACTCCAACTTCTTTGAAAATAAACGAAGCAAACTTTGCTCTCTGCGTCGAGAGTTCGGGAAGTTTGAAAGTAATGCGTGATTTAGGCAACATAAATTACCTCAGATATTGTCAAGTTGTAGGACTTGTTAGCTGATTATGTGCGAAAAACGACATATTGCTTTGGATGTGATTATGAATGAGCGTGGGGTGAGCACGGTCCCACTGTTCGGAAGGGCGCACGACTAGCGGTCTCTGTACGAGGGGCGGCGGTTAGAAGTGTCCCAGGGCGATCGATCGCCGGCCCGACATGACCAACATCCCTAGCTGTGCGCGTGTGTGAGGGACGCGGTGCTACCGTCTCCGGACGTCACGGTCAGCGGTCGAGCCACAGTCGGCGGTCCGGCTGCGCGCTGCACACCCGGGGAGGGGGACACTACTGGCCGCCCGCGCGGCCGGGACACAGGACAGGCTGCACTGGCTACAGGGGCCGGGTCGGGCCGGCACAACGTCACCGACCGGGCGGCGGCGCATGCGGCACATACCATCCATGAATACAAGTTGGCGCTTGTACTTGGCAAAAAACCCTGGGGCAAGACGGGGTCGGTTAGTACTGGAATGGGTCGGCGGCACCGGCGGGTCCGGCCGACGGTTCACTGGCGGGGGAGGCAGTGGAGGGTTCCGCGGCGGGAGGCAGAGGACTGCAGAGCAGGGGACAGTCCGGAGAGAGCAGTGAAGCCGGAGTCGGCGTCCGTTCCGGCGCGGTCAGAGCAGTGAAGCCAGAGTCGGTGGTGTTGGTGGGGAGACCGGGTGGCCCGTCGGCCTGTCGGCCGCTGCTCTCTGGGTACTCACATCCCTCGTAGACCTCGAGCGGGGTGTGCACCCCTGAGCGGCTCGTGTTCACCTCGCGGCCCAGCGTCTCGCTGAGCGAGAGCTGGCCGCTGTCGGCCGTGTGGTCGGCCATTTTGAACAGCGGCGCGTCGAGCACCGGCCGGCCGGCGCCGTCCTCGATGACGCCCTCGTCGCTCAGCTGCAGGTCCTTCTCGTAGCGGTAGGTGAGCGTCAGACTCTCGGCCCGGTTGACAATATCCTGGCGGCCGGCGGCAGGAGTGAGCGCTCAGCGGCGCTCCGGCAACAAACACCGGCACACATCCGTCAGAAACAGTGGTGGTAGGTGAAATAGAAAAAACACAATTTACTCATGTGTTTCCTGCCTCACACACCTAGTTTATTCAGTCGTGCTATGATGCAGATTATGTGCAGCATGTACCGACTACCGAAGACGACGTCAATGGGCAAACCACTTGATTTTATCGTGCACCATTGAATATTACCGGCGAGTTGAAAATTGTACGCAGAGAAGGTGGATATAACATACCTACCGAGTACACATGCGGTCAGCGGCAGTGGCGGCGTTACCTTGAGCGCCTGCGTGCGCCGGGTGAAGATGGTTGTGATCTGGGACGCCATGAGGGCCAGCTCCTGTTCGGGCCGGACCACGTCGAACCGGACGCTGTGGCGCATACTGTGGCCGAAACTCTGCCGGGCGCACACACGGCCGCACGGTCAGCGTGTCCCAACGACCCGCAGGCCGCAACACCTCCTCCCGACCACATACAAACACACACGGCCGCACCGGTCAGCGTGTCTCAACGACCCACAACACCTCCTTTCGACCACATACAAACACACACGGCCGCACGGTCAGCGTGTCTCAACGACCCACAACACCTCCTCCCTACCACATACAAACACACACGGCCGCACCGGTCAGCGCAACACCTCCCGATCACATACAAACACACACGGCCGCACCGGTCAGCGTGTCCCAACGACCCACAACACCTCCTCCCGACCACATACAAACACACACGACAGAGCACCGGTCAGCGCAACACCTCCCGACCACATACAAACACACACGACCGCACCGGTCAGCGTGTCCCAACGACCCGCAACACCTCCTCCCGACCACATACACACACGACCGCACCGGTCAGCGCAACACCTCCCGATCACATACAAACGCCACGCAGATCTGCAAACGGAAGGTTCAGGCGGCTTTGCCACCAGGCCCTTCCTTATTGCACATCACATTTGTTGAGAAGCGGATGCACTGGATTGAATTGTGCACAGGTAGGCAAATTTAGCATTATTCACAAAATTGTGCACAGGTAGGCAAATTTAGCATTATTTACAATCATTTGCTCAAAGGATTAACTGCTAACTTCAGGCTCTATCAGGAGGGCTCTCTTACCCTCTCTCCCCTCCCCCTATCTCTTCTCCCTCACCCTTTCTCACTAATCCAATTGTTACAATTCAAAATTGACCCTAACATATTGGTAATACAACATTTAAAGTCCCCAGTGTTCACAGCTATGCATGAAATGATTTGCCAAAGAAACATTGATCAAAACTTGAAAAAGGAGCTGAGTTTGGTATATAAGTCTAAGCAATCACATTACGACTACGTACTACCTTTCAAAACAAAATTTAAAACAATAGTGACACTGAGTCACATTTGGCATGCCCAACAAGTAGCAATCCAAAACTTGTTATGTAGCAGGTAGCAATTATATGAAAGAGCAGGATGGCACTCTGAACTCACATCTTGAAGTGTTTCATAATCACTGGCAGACATGAAGTCTTCTTTTAGCCGAATTCCCAGCTGAGCAGCCCAATGGTTGACCCTAAAAGTGATTTCAGTGTCAGAATAGGACAGAGACAAAGCTGATACAAAGTGCAGCAGAGAAGAAAATGTCAATGGATAAATTCACAGGGAAGCAACAGACATTACAAAGCAGATGATGAGCACGGTAAACTGACATGGTAGCCCACCGATATGAATAAGCAGACTCACACATCTGACGATGGTATTTCACTGCCGATGCTTATACTGAATGCCATCAGCAACTGGATGATCCTGATAGCACGCATTTTCTAAAAGGTAGTCGTCACAGCGATTAAGATTGATATACAAAGTTTCCAATCAATTAAGACAATGGTTCTGTGCAGTGTGCACTGTAAAATGCTTCATTCATTTGTCCATGCCATGGGAAAAATATAGCTCAATTGACCATGGATGACACCATGAAGCATAACCCAACTTGATTTCAGCTTCCTGGGTCACATTACAACAGAAGCCTGTAACAGAGGAATTCAGCATAAATATATTATATACATATTGTCAGGAGTCAGGCCTGGGTGGCGTGTCATAAAATTACTCCAGGATTACCTCAAGAAGTAATAACTTAACTTGAGGCTAAGCAGAGAAATTCCCACAGCCAGTTGTGGACGCATGACCCATGGCTGGAGACTGGAGAGCGGCCGCCAACCAACGACCCCACTGACTTCTCACTTGGTGTATCACAGTGCTGCACATTTCTGGACCTCCTGGCTCCTTCTCATTCTGAAAGGCCCCCATCGAAGTGTAGACAGTGGTGGCACCAGTGACAGCAGAAGCTGACTGCCGGTGAAGCCCTGCCATCAATTGAATCAGCCAATGCATTGGTCTGCACTCAGCACAGGGACCCAGGGACATGCACCAAACAGGGGTCCGCGCCACCTTCACACTGGTGGTGGCAGATACCTGGTTGAACGCACACACCTGGTTGAACGCACACTGCTGAGTGCGGTGTGTGCGGTGTGTCCAGCAGGCGTGGGGATAGGGGATGGGTAGGCGGCTCTGACGTCACGGCTGCGTGCGGTGGACGGTCCGCTGTTGCCAGTCCCGACCGGCCACAGCGGTCGCTGTGTACGGTGACAGAAGGCAGGGCTGACGTAGGGACGCAGTGGGCGGAGCTTGGAGGCTGTGAGCGGTCCGACCGCACACAGGGCCCGTAAACAGCCCTCTGAAGTTTTTATAGGTCAAAAGCAAAATATGAAGTTTTTCATGAAAAAAAAACTATAAAAGTAGTTAAGCTAGACAAAAACTAATAGCACCATCGTGATCCTCTTGTCAATCCGCATTAAAGCATTCATGTGTTGACCAAAAAGTCAAGGTTGAAGGTCAGAGGTTGACCTCAGGTCACGTGACCTGAGGTCATCATGTGTATCATTTGATGACGACTGATGCACCTTAACAAGCTGAATGACATGATACCATTTGCACGGCTGCATCTCATTCCTGTAAGGAATTATTAGCCAAAACAAACTTTGGCGACCTTTGAAAACATCACATGGCCTTACACTTGCCCAATAGCAAACAAGACCTCAAAGTAGTCAAGACTGATCACATATGAAGTCATTTAAGGTAAAGTGGGCCATTACAACGTGTTTCAGTGAAAACAAAATCAGGACGTTGCATGTAAATCTGCTGATTCCTCCCCCCCCCCCCCTCCCATACTGCAAAGTATGGCTGGTAGGTCGACGAGGTGCACTGACCCAAGTTCAAATCCGCACCAACCCTTCAGAAAGAGCCAGAAAATCCGCACCAAAGCCGAATAAGAGTACAAAAAATGCACCAGACCCAAAAATGGCCAGTTTATATCCGTATTCCGCACAGACCTCAATTAATGATATGAGCCGCAAGTCTGCTTTCTCAGTAGTATGGAAACAAAACGCGAAACATGCACCACACAACTCAAACAAAAGGCATGTCACGGCCATATAAAAACCATATCTAATACCTACCCCTGGCGATTCTTCCAGGGCAATTATTATGTGATGTACCATGGTTACTCCAATGGCTTCGACACCGCTGTTTAGCTAAACGGCCTGACAACGTACACCCGTTAACGTACACAACAACGTACACAACGTTATAAAAATAAAGATACAAAAATTGAACGGCTGTATGTGGGATCATCTCATTGATGCATTTTCCGAGTATTTCATTGGGTTAACAGCTGTATTGTAAAACAAATCTGATCGGCAAGTCATTCAGAGCGGATTTGACTACTTAGCCGCGGCAAAGTGGCGGTCCTCAAGGCCTGCCATCAGCCATGTGCATCTCTCCCTATCACCAAGAGGCAAGAGACAACAGAAAACTCTCACATGAGCAGAGTGCATCTCGTTTACAAATGCTGTAGAATGCAACTGCCTCAGATTCTTTTGATGCAACATATTAGCTGCGCTGAACCTGACCTTTAAAACGTTTGCAATTGACTGCTTGAAGCGGTGGAGCAGTGATCTAGCCCTGCCATCGGCCGTGCATATCTTAAATCCCTCCCATCGCCCTGCACATCTCACCGAGCAAAAAAAAAAAAATCACTACTGCCGGCGCCTCGCAGAGCCGAGCGGTGTGTTCCATGTTTAACAGTGCCAAATTGCGTATGACCCATGTGATTATGGCACCAGCACGGCTGGCATAGTCCATTCTGACCACGTCACCACTGCATACTCAATTAGACCTGAGAGCACACTGAATTACAGGTTGAAGCTCCAACAATGTTTTTTCTTTGATTTTCCTCAGCTATCTCGTCTGGTCTGTAATGTACGTCGCTAAGCCAATCCGGCACCCCATTATACTAAATTAGCACTGCACCAAGCCAAAATCCGCACCACAACGGTGACCGGGAAATGGGAATACCCCGTTCTATATACCGTGGTTTCACCGGTGATAGCAGCACGCTACTATCAAATTGCGCGAGCTGACATAATGTGATAATGTCACACTAATGATGTTTCGTGCAATCCGTGAGCTTTTCATAGCTACGTTTGGAACAGAGTTTCTGTCTCGTTGAATGCGCTTGATACATTTGTTTGATTGCACAGCCCCGAAGATGTTAGCAGCAATATTTGATGACATCACTGATCACACAGTTTGACGATGCCATGGTTTGTTGATGTTTCCATGGAAACCAAATTTGACGCGAGTAATAGTAGCGTGCTGCTACAACGGGGAAACAGGGCCCGGGACACCGCACCAGCCGAAGGCCCTAAAACAAACTTGGGTACCTACCTATATGTCAACACCCAAACTTGTTTGGCACCAGCCGAACAAGCCCGCACCTATCTGTATGAATCTTGCCCGCACCGACGAGATCTCGTCGAAATTGCCGAGACCAAACTGGCCCCTCTGGTATAAGTATATATTAAGTCCGAGTGGACAATTGTGATGCTGTTGATACAAATATGTAACGGCAAAAATTTTAGGTTTTTGGTTAGGTTAGGTTGTAGGTTTGTAGGTTTTAGGTTGTAGGTTTGTAGGTTAGGTTAGGTTAGGTTAGGTTGTAGGTTTGTAGGTTGTAGGTTGGTAGGTTGTAGGTAAATAGGTAAGGTTAGGTCAGGTTTGATTATGTTTTTCTTTTATTTCCAGGACATATAAGTATCATTTTTGGATTCAGGATGTCAAATAATGTAAGAATATGAAAACTTAATCATTTAACAGTCACTCGGACTTAATGTATACTTTTACCGCCCCTCTCCCAGTCCCATTGACTTATAATGGGGAGGTCATTAAATCAAAATTACAATAAAGGTGATCAATAGCAAAATTCTAATACACCAATTGTAGCTACAAATGTCCTCGATTATACCACAGCCAAGGCCCTAAATACCTTACCTTACATTACCTATCTTCAGTTGGGGAAACTACGAGGCGAACGTCAAAAAATGGATTGGTCAATAAATGGACTTTTGATGACCATATATGGGCATAAATGCAGCCCCCGCTACTAAGGGTGAAAAACGGTATGACAAGCCGGTACTTGCGGTATCGCGTCCACTTATTGGAGAGAAAAGGCTTCCATTTTTCACTAGGAATTGGTGTGATTTGATTAAATTCGGCGAATTGACTCGAAAATGGTGATAGGAAAACGGCTTTTCTGCCGGTTCTGGGCGTCGCAATCAGCTGGCCATTCAATAAATGGATTGGTTTTATGAAAGAAAATTGTTAAAAGATTTAATTTAATTACAATAAACAAGAATATTTAATTCTAAAATAATAACTTAACTACAATTATAAAAACCATAAACAAAATAATAAAAATAATGACATTTTTAAACCATGGTACTGCTTACATTTTTTGGCGCGTCTGTTTCAATCCGCCATATTTGCCAATCACGGTTTGACCTTGCGTTGTAACTCTGCGATTTAGAGCCGCCAGTTAATTATGCACCGGGTGAGTGTAGACCTTGTGTGGTTAAAAAACATTCTTATGCCTTATTTTTTCATTTGAATGCTAAAATTCATTGAAAAGATGAAGTTGTCTGATTTTATGACCATATATGGTCATCGCCCCGCCCACTCCAGCCGCTGATTGGCTAATCCAATTTTTGTTTGGCTCCTCGTAGTTTCCCCAACTGTCTTACACTATCGGGAATTTTGAAAGGCAACTCGCCTGTAGGTCCCGCTCTCGTCGAGCTCGTGACTGGTGGTCATCTCTAGTCGTGAGTAGGAGTCAGGTACATCAGATTGGCCCAATGCTTGTCAAGTCTGGATTTGAAGGCATTGAGGGATGGGGCCTGAACAACTGTTGCAGGGAGGGAGTTCCAGTCGTTGAGCGCTCGAATAGTGAATAGTTGTCTTCTGGCTCGTGACTTGGCATGTGGTTTGTACAGCTTCCAGGGATGGCCACGGTTGGACCTCGTGGACGCAGGCTTGACAAACTTGTCCGAGTCGATATCGATCTCGTTATGCAGCAGCTGAGTGGTAGCAGTATCCAGGGTAAATAAATACCTATTTATACTACCAGGGTATATAGAACAACTAGTGGCTAAATATGGGCTAGTGGCCTTGCTAGTGGCCAAGGCCCTATATACCCTAGTGGCCTTGCTAGTGGCTAAATACAAAATTCTTACAGATAGCTAAATACACATCCAGCAATTACTTTACTGGGACCAAGGATTGGGACGACGTTGGTGAAAACAGGGCGCCTGGGGCTATTTAATCAAGGTTCGTGAAATTCACACGTGACGCTTAGCATGTAAAAGGTCCCTGGAGGGGTAGAAGTTCCAAGTATCACGTGACTAATATGCCCTCCGGCGCCCCGTGGGCGCCCCTTTGCGTATTTACAAATTGCAACCGAGCTCCGCCGTGGGGTAAGGTGGGCAGGGGTTTTTGCACTACGGCTGCGGTTGAACTACCGTCTGTGGTAGAAACTTCAGGATGATGGCGCGTTTCATACGAAATCTGGCGCAATGTTTGTTTGCTTCTGAACTTGTATTGTTATTGCTGTGAGCTCTTGAAGTGGGAGTGTTTCAATAACAATTTGTGGATTATTTGAGTTTCTTGATATAAAAATCGAATAATATTATGAATAATTGCGTGGAAACTGCAAATACTGATATAATCAATTGCTTAGTTTGGGAATTGATACACATTTTGTAGAGGTTTGTCTGGCAAATGGTGTAACAAACTGAAACTTCAAGCCTATCATGATCTGAAGCTGTTGTAACAAATCAAAATTGCTTTGATGTTCCATAATACCTTGTTGGAAAGACTGGAGCATGGTTCAAGATGATGTGTATAAATTCAAGATTTGTGCAAAAGCTTATGACTGAAGAGCGAAAACAGTTCTATATGATGGCTCAATCAAACATGGAAAGGGACGACAAAAGTAGAGTTTCAACATTCCAGCATGTGAGAATAACTTCAGAACTTCATGGTTCTTGTAGTATTGCATTCTTCTTATGTACAGTTCTAGGTTTTGTTAGGGTACCTATTCAATTTCAATGTGTCAGTTGAGATATAGGTGGATTGCGGATAAAATTTAGAATCATTGCATGGTAGATAGGTACTTGTTCGGTAAAAAGGTATGCGATGAATACCACGAGAAGGTTCTTTTATGATTTAATATATGGTCATTGTTGTACCTACAAAAATACAAGCTTACTAGCACCTAATTATTGAATCAAATCGAAAGTATTTGCTATGAATGTAAATATGTACCTGCAAAATATGTCAATAAATTTGTGTGATGTTGACCAGAGAGCTGTATCATCTGGGCATTTATGTTGCTTCTTACATTAGGTGTTAAGCATAGTAATTATGGATGAACTTTGTGCCAATATCTTCAATGCACAGTGTATGTACTAGCATGTCTACAACCCTCACTGAACCTGCTATAGCTATATAGGCATTTGGCACCAGCAAGACCAAGGGCATGAACTTCACAGTTGCACAACCCTTTGTCATGTACCACCAGTCACTTTTTCCCTTAGGTGCACATGGCAGTGTACACTGCACACAATACCTAATGCGCAGAGGACCTACACAAAAACAACATGATAAGTGTGCACTATGATGCACAGCATTGTACCCTGATTATTTGAATATTCTGATCACTCAACAGTCAGGAGACCATTTTTGAATGTCACATTTATGATACATCACTTGTCAAACAAGAGCATGATGACACACATTTTGACAAGCAATCATGGTAATATTCCAATAAGTTGGACACCTCCCTGGGCGTCATTTTCCAGGAAGGTACCTCTGCAGGTGTTGTGGTAGCTTAGGTTGAATTGGGTTAAGTTAGGTGAAGTAAGGCGGTTAGGACCAGGTCAGACCGTAAGGCCTGGTCAGGTTGATTTTAATCTCTCATTCTAATTTGACATAGATACCTATTACCTATGTTTTTGCTCCAGACTGAACTTCATTAGGTAATGAGTTCATTTTGTTTTGTTTTTTATCTGTCTTGTTTTGTGTTTTTGTCCCTTATGTTTTGCCCCATAGGCAAGGGTGGAGCTTTTCCAGGGATGGTGGTGGGGCAAAAAGCCGTCAAACCTGCAATGCTCGGTTGTTAAGTTAGATTATGTGCAACACTAAATCAATTCTTTTAATTACAGAACCAACATTTTGAATTACACAGACATTTCAAAGCTCCTCAATGCGAACAACATAGTGGTTTGCTATGCAATGAAGTTCTACAAATCAGCAAAAGTTGGAGGGGCAGAACGCTATTTTTTCTCTGACAGCTTCGTAACATGTTACGAAGGCACCAAAACTACTTCAGTACAGGGTGTAACGAAATTATCCGGGCATCTATTTTTTCGCCATATCTGTTTGCACAGTTTCCTAATGCTTTCTGATGTTAGAAGTGGGAATATTGGATGAATACGTGACTCTGCTATCGGTTTTTCAACTCAGCAGTGACCTGACCTTGTCATGTGACTATTGCTCTGAGTAGGAGTCGATTCATAGACGGGTTCACATGGTAGTTTTCGTCCAAGGCAGTTGCGAGAAAGGGATACAATCTCTCCTTTCGTGGTAAAATTGCATGGCGGCATCCACGGCGTCATGAACCAGAAGCTGGTCTGCCAGCAGCTGGACATCAGCAGCAGCCAATTGCACATCGGCCTGAGGCGTAATAAGCTGGGACTTCGGTGGCAGACTCAGCCCGGTCGCGACCACAAAAGCCGCCCTTTGTCAAGTGGTGAGGAGAGTCATCAAGATAGCGGCAAGAAAACGGCACCAATCAATCCGCAAATTGACTCGAATTCTTACCAAGTCAGATAATAAGAGATCCCTTATTATGGTTTACCGCTACCCGCCCTTTAACTTGGTTCTAGTGCCCTTCAAACTGAAAAAGACAACGAAACTGACGGGAGAATAACCAGTTCACCACCTTTCGCCTCACGCCAGATCGCGTCCACTGGTTGAAGAAAGATAAGGGTGAGGTGGTCTGGTTGGATGGGTAGCCGTTCGAGCTGTATTATCCTTTGAACCGTCAAATCGGCCATGTATGGGCGGCCAGCCGCTCGAACTTGCTGGCCTTCGCCGCCGTCAAACATGCGGACAATATCCAGAACTGGAGCATGTTCAGCTGCCTAGCGATGCTCCAATAGGACATAGTGTCATAAAATACCGCGATCAGCGTCAAGTATTACCGGAGCAACATACTGGACAATGAATGGTTGGAGGCGCTCAACTAGACGGTATAGGAGGGCTCGGTTTCTGAACGCGCACTGGTGCCTGATTCAAGCCACGCTGTCTTCATGCGGGGCGGCGCGCTACTTAAAAGTCCCTAAAAGAACGGGAAGTGATGCCGATAGAACCTTCAATCATTCTGGGCTAACGCTTATGACTTGGAAAAAGTCGCGATCCCAATTCAATCGAAAACCTGTGGGCTCTTGTTCAGCATGTGACTGAAGAGACGCCCGCCACAAGCACCGCCCAACCGCAGGCACAGGTTTAGAGGGTGTTGACTGTTGGTCCGCATCAAAGCCAGTGTGCTGGAGAATCCAGTGGCTGGAATGCTCCAGAACATTCGCCACTGTGTTTTTATGAAAGGTGGCTACATGCTCAGTTATAAGAAAAAGTACCAGAATGTTTTGCTTTTTTAATTACAGCGGGAAGAAAGGTGTCCAGATAATTTCGTTACACCCCCTGTAATTTAATGGTATACTTTTCAGAGTCTCAAGAGACTCTTGAGACTCTGAAAAGTATACCATTAACTTATCGACCTGAGTAAAAGATAAAATGACTTTCAATTCCCACTTACCCCCTGTAATGTTCAAATGGTTGCAAAATTCGAAATCAGCTCCAAAAACTAGCCTAGAAACATGTAAAACTCGAAAAAGTGAACCGAGGTCATCAAAGGTCATTGAGCTGACCTGACCTTCAGGTGACCTTGACACCCTAATGCATGGGACCAGCATCATATCACATGTTTCAACGCTTGAAACCACGTAAAGACTGCAAACGTGCGGCTAATGCGAGCCGACATACGCCGAATCGCGATTCGGACCAAACATGGTCTCGAGAAATAGGTCACAGGTCAAAGGTCATTTGGGTCAGGGTCATGAAATTTTCAGGGTAGGTGTAAAATTGATAAAATCGGGAGTATTGAAAGTTTCGTCGCGATCGGACGGTTTTTACGCGAGTTACTCACGAAAAACCGATGGGGTCCGTTCAACGCCTCCCCCTATACGAGCGAGGGAAAAGCGCAACCAAAAGGCGAAAATATGCACATGCGATAACCTATACTGCGGAAAAAGGTGCATCATTTTTGAACGTCGCCGACAAATTGTAATTACCCCAAGCTCAGGCAGATGTATGGTAGAAAATACCCCAAGTGAAATACACTACGGCGGAAATAAAATACCCTACGGCGGAGCTCGGTTGCAATTTGTAAATACGCCGCCCCTTTACTGGCTAGACGCGGTCGCGCCACTAACGTCGAAAAGTTACCACTATTTCACTGCCAGCCACTGAACTCTATAATGCTGCCAGCGCAGCATTCATCTGAACATATGCTGAACATAGCGAATCGCCGATCTCGCCTAATCATCTGTGATTTACACGCGCGCCAACGGCGGCGGAGGCGCGGCACCGCGAACACAAGCCCGGTTCTGACTGCCGAAATCGATCGGAGCGGATGGTAAGCGTATGGTGATCGTATGGTGAGCGTGGCTGGCGGAAAAAGATAAAAATCTCTAGGCCCGATACGATCTGGTAACTGGTAGATCGTATCGTGCGAATCGTGCGTATCGTGTGGGAGTCTGCGTCCGCCATTACTGCCGGCGGTGATAGATAAGAACGAAATAAATACTTTTTACGCTTGAAGAGACGTTAAATGTAGTTTAAAACATCTCTCTAATTCAATAATTTAGTTTGAGTAGTCGGCTCTGACTATTCCGTGAAGTTAATCAACATTTCGGCTTGATTGGAGCAGCATGGCGGCGGAAACCATTCTCGGCCGTGGAAGGTACGCAATTTTGAAAATGCGTGGAAAAATAGAAAATCATGTCAAATTGTCCTGGAAAGTAACCTACAACCTAAAAGTGAGTATTGTGAATGCTGTGCATCGGTTTTCTTGAAAATCGGTTCGTTGAAATTGACAGAAATTCATTGGTAAGATATCTATGTACCATCTCCAGTGCTCCAGTGTCGCCGGTAAATCGCCGGTCACCACGAGGCTTGCCGGCTCGGCAGAGCGC